TTATAAATATCATATTACCTATTGTGTTTATCTTCAACTACACCCACTTCAAGCAACTATTGTAACCTTAGACTCAAAAGTAAGAGGGTGGTCTTATCACAGGACAGTACACACAAATCAAAAACAAATATAAGCTGAATCACAAATTTGAAAATACCAAGATTAAAACTCAAATAATGCTATGACAAACTCTCAGGAAAATATTACCCGTGATTCTATTGGCCACTTCAGAACATTTAACTTCCATCAGAAATCTACTTGCAATATACATGGCAAATTCACAATTTAAACCAATACCATCTAAAGGAGAAAAAACTAAGAAAGTCAATTAATGTGTTTTAAGACTGAATTGAATGAGATTTTTATCTTTTTATTTCTTTTTTTTTCAAATCCTCATGTTTATTTTTCCACCTTTCCTTCAGTGTATTTGTAACTTATACACTTCAGCTCCGTGAACACAGTCACTTTGGTTGATCTGAGTGACATGAAGAACTCCATACGATTGTGAAAATCGAATTTCATGTGTCTACACTTTGCAGTTTATTTCCAAGATTTCGATTTTGTCTAGAATTTATCACTTGAAGCAACTAAATTTAAAGCAAACCAGATTTTATTTCTGCGGAAGTGTTTTGATTATTGTCCCCTGAGGACTGAAACTCTTGTTTGGAGCAAACTGTGTCTTGACATCCGACAGTCATACATCATCGTATTGTACAGGGTTTGCCAACAAAAATTGTCATGTGTAATCTGCAATTTCCTTCCAAAATATTTAAATTCATTTAAAATGCTACTGAAATTTTTTATACAATAAATCATATCACAAACAAGAGGTAAAGTTCTTATGATACAAAATCAATGAAAACAGATGTGGAAATTTCTGATCTATGAAAGACTTCGAAGGTTAACAGGTCATGTGATTGATTCCGGCAGTTCTCAAGGAAGCCACAATCGGAGCACTAGCATGCAATAAAGCAAGACTTGAGGAAGACGTTTTATAACCAGACTTATACATTCCTCGGCCCTATATCAAATATTGCAGATCAATACTTTCTAGGAAAAAACATGTCTACACAATTACAATAATTTGTTTAGCCTTACAGGTATTATTTCTCAAAAAGAAATTGAACCTGTCACTGCAATAGAACAATTGGACACACATAACGTAGTCATGTATTTAGCTAACTTCTGAGTTGTTAAACTTGGCTCAAAATATCAACTTGAAGGCATACATTAGTACCATAATAATGTGTTTTAAAAATCATTTTCTATAACAAGGATATAAGTGTTTAAAACATCATTTTCTATAACAAGGATATAAGTGTTTAAAACATCGTTTTCCATAACAAGGATATAAGTGTTAAAACATCATTTTTTATAACAAAGATATCAGTGTTTAAAACATCCTTTTCTATAACAAGGCTATAAGTGTTTAAAATATCATTTTCTATAACAAGGATATAAGTGTTTAAAATATCACTTTCTATAACACGTAGATTGCCCTTAGATCCCTACCTCAAATCCCTACTCTAACCTGTTACGGAGATATTTCAGTGAAGGATGGATGTTGTCATCATATGCTAAATCATTCACAAAAATAGAGTTTGATAAAAGATAACAAATGCCATGTTCTTCCAGTAAGTGTAAAAGCCCAATATTCTGTCTGTTTTGTTTACGAATTAAAAAGTTTATAAATAAGGATATCCCTTAGATTTGTTTACAAATCACAATTAGAATAATTTTAAGTTTTTCACTTTGCAGTTAAGAATCGTTTAAAAATCACAGCTTAACAAAGGAAAACCTGAATTGTTTGACTATATATAGATTTACAATACAAAGAGAACGAGATTCAACGTCCGGTCTGGAAGATATCAGCAGTCTTCATAGGATGGATTCCTATTGGAATACAGGAGTTCGGTTCAAAGATGTGTAAACAGCAAATAAAGAGGTCCAGACAACATTGGTAGGAAGAATTAAAACTGTTTAATAGTTGACAGGTTTCGGCATATTAGGTATACCGTCCCCAGAACAGAGTAACTTTTCAAAATACTGGACTTGTATACTAATTCTTCATACGGATGTTGTCTGGTCCTCCATGTTTGCTGTATAAAAAGGTTTGTTCACAAATTGTGTCAAGGCAAGCTGAACATAACAGTGGTGTGGAAATTTACAATCTAAAGGAAATACACAAGTAGTTTCACTTGATGTTTAGTGTGCTGACTTCTAGTTACATGGTATATTTTTTGTATATCATACCTCATGCACAGTGACTTCTTCCTATAAATGTCTGCTTGTGTCCAAATGCAGTATTTGGGGGACATCAAAAAAGACTATCAGAATCGTACATCTATATCTGTTAATGCTGGTAAACAAACACAGCTCTATACAATATTTCCTGAAGCCTTAATTATCATCTTTAACATCTATTCGAAGTGCTCCCCTATGTTTCCCCCTGTCCATGTTAATGTTAAACTGGTACAGACCGTTCAATCTACTCCCATCTCCACATAGGAAAAACTGCTTTATTGTTTTAGAAAATGTTATGGCGCCGTTCCACAGCATCTGATGGGAAATGTTAACATGTTTTATGGTTCAATTCCCATTTAACTGCTCTTAGTGAGAAAGACTTCATAAAATAAAGAGGTAGTGTGTGTAAAAATTGAAACAAATATCGTATACATATGTCTACCAAAAAGGTACCGATAATGTGTTTGTGTGTGTGTGTGTGTGAATGTTCCATAAAATACTACATCACATTTGTCAGGGGAAACACTGTTACAGCGAAAGTAATGTAACAATTTATATCACTCAAACTTCAAGACAGGAAGTTATATATAGGATGGAAAAGTTATTAAAGTATAACCATGAAGATGATGCTTAGTCTGACAGTGATCTGTTTACACTTATTTATAGAACCCCCTATATGTGGAAGAATGTGCACCATTAGACAGCCTGCCAACTGGACCAACACTAGGATTTAAATACAAGGATATATCTTATTTTAGCCACAGACCAGTCACAAAAATTTCTATCTAAGCAACATACATACATCTCACCACATCTACTGTATACCACAGACTTACATATCTATATATATCTCACCACATCTACTGTATACCACAGACTTACATATCTATATACATCTCACCACATCTACTGTATACCACAGACTTACATATCTATATAAGTCTCACCTATCTACTGTATACCACAGACTTACATATCTATATAAGTCTCATCACATCTACTATATACCACAGACTTAGATATCTATATACATCTCACCACATCTACTGTATACCACAGACTTACATATCTATATACATCTCACCACATCTACTGTATACCACAGACTTACATATATATATACATCTCACCACATCTACTGTATACCACAGACTTACATATATATATATACATCTCACCACATCTACTGTATACCACAGACTTACATATCTACATACATCTCACCACATCTACTTTATACCACAGACTTACATATATATATATACATCTCACCACATCTACTGTATACCACAGACTTACATATCTACATACATCTCACCACATCTACTGTATACCACAGACTTACATATATATATATACATCTCACCACATCTACTGTATACCACAGACTTACATATCTATATAAGTCTCACCACATCTACTTTATACCACAGACTTACATATCTACATACATCTCACCACATCTACTGTATACCACAGACTTACATATCTATATAAGTCTCACCTATCTACTGTATACCACAGACTTCCATATATATATACATCTCACCACATCTACTGTATACCACAGACTTACATATATATACATCTCACCACATCTACTGTATACCACAGACTTCCATATATATATACATCTCACCACATCTACTGTATACCACAGACTTACATATCTATTTAAGTCTGTAAATCTTCCCAATTTTATTCCTAACTGCAACAACTTCTTTCTTTCTCCTTTTTTGAGATTAAAACATCACCACTCTAATAAATAGAATTGTCCATAAAGACGTTTCATATGCACTTTTGGGGTGGTCTTTATACACAGGTTTAATTTTTCTTACAATTTTACCAACTCATGCCAAAATTTAACACAAAGTCAATGACAAATCAATATGCAGAACCATTTTGATTTATCAAACTAGCAAGCACAACAAGCATCAACAAAAAGGTCCAAAGAACAGGTCAAATACTGACATTATCGTAATGTTAAAACTGATCTATTTGATAATAGTGTCTTCAAATTTCTCAAAACCCATTTAAAACTCTAGAATTACCCAGAGTTATCCTGTCCGAGTCAATAGCAACCATGTCACCACTTGAATATGCACTACATTTTCCAGTCAACCAAATTTGTCCAAATTTCTTTCCCTTTGTTTCAATCAGACAGTCTTGACAAAAGCATACAATGATTTTCTTTCTCTTTGTTTCAATCAGACAGTCTTGACAAAAGCATACAATGATTTTCTAAGAGTTTACTATTACAGGAATCTAGAATGTTTCTACTTCATTAGATCAGATATGACTCTGACAACAATCACAATTAAACTGCAAGTCTCACATCTTTAAGACAACCAGTTTCCTCTTCCTGATATGATGTATGTTCGATGGGTTTATTGCCCTGTGAACAGCCAGGGTCATTTTCAGGTAGGGTCTCCTAAAAGTAGCTAGTGGCTACCTCACTGAACATACCCGGCCAGTCGCATTCCATCCAAGCTGAGCAAAGTGTCTTCCCCAATGAAAATAAACATGACAGCACAGACAAGTCTGTTTTTCAGTTTCCTTTAGAAATAACTTCTTTGACTATCATGGGACCACAGATATTTTATATCTACCTGAGGTTATGTTGGCCAATTGTCTTTTGATGGAGCCATCAACAGCCCCCTCAAGAAACTCCATTACGTATTTATGTACAATCTAAAAAGAACTACATGTTGATTAGACAAACAGTTCTTAACACAGGTATATTTATCAGTACTTACCAAGATGTGTCCATCATTTCCAGAACTTGCCACTGTTGCACCAAACCACTGGTGTGATTTATCTTCTATTGCTAAATATACTGAACCATTAAATTGGTTAGAGTTACCTGTGGGGAGAAAAAGTTTGTTAGTTACCCGATAATGTTGCAATTTACCTGTGGGGAGAAAAATCTTGTAAGTAAGCATCAAATGTTGTTATTCCTGTGGGGAAAAATGCTCCTTAATTATTGGGAACTGGGATAACTTGTGTTTCCTCTGGTTTAATACTGGTAGATGTCCATTATTGTTACAGACGTAAGTACACATTTAAACTAGACATCTTTCTCTGTCAAAGTCAGCATCTACTGTCTTGTGTTTGAGACTTACCAAATTAGCATGCAACTAAGTTAATGTCAATTTCACTGGAAATTGGATTCAGTTTTTATCTTAGGCTTTAATGATAATATATATGTATAACAAACCTTCAATAGTTAAAAAAAAAGTATTGCACTCCTCAGTAAACTTTTCTGAATTATACTAACCTCTACAATGTTAAGAAACATTTAAGGATATGACCTAATAAGGAAATGTAGAGACAAATGTGTATTTTAATGAACTTCTTGTTCTATATTTAACTATTTATACAAGGACAGTTTAGTTGTTGTCAAAGCAATTTAATTTCAATAATTCCTTGAAAGAATTTTTAAAAAGACATGTAAAGCTAACTAATTTCAATCTATCAAAATAAACAGCATGCACACTATTTATCATGTACGATAAAGTTGATTATTTTATATGATTCGGAACAAATGATACCAGAACACAGCTACTAACGATACCCTACAGAAATTACTGGTACAATGCATTTAAGAAACACTTAAAAATCTCACTACATCCACTTGAAATTGATAGCCAGGTTAAAGTAATGGTTCTTTGCCCTCTATGATATAAGGTCAATGAAAACACTCAATTTTCATTAACCGCAAACTCAAATTTCCTTCCTGAAAATGACCTCCAAATGTCTGGTTACAATTACCTCCATTTAACTGAAAAAAATGTTGTGAATTTTGCTTTTTGAACATTAGAAAATTTTCAAATTTCATTTTTTGTTTTCTATAGAATACTAGATTTTTGTTAGGATTGTTGAAACTGCAAAAAAATGTATTATATTTTCATAATTTGCAGCTGTCTTTTCTTACTTTGGCTAACAATACTTCATGATAGCGGGACAGCTGTGGAGCACTTCACAGCAGGCAGGGAGGCAGTTGTTGTGGTCACTGGCCCATGTCCAGCCTCATCAAAAAAGCTTGCTTTTTGTTACAGTAGTCACTGAACCATGGCAGAGTTCTGAACCACCATATGCCAGTGGAAATGAGGCGTCTTTTATGACCTTACATTGTGATTATTTTATAGCCGTCCACCGGACAAAAATACTATCAATCGTTTTTGACCATCAATTTATAACTAACTGAACAGAGGCAGGATTCATCGTAAAATCTGTGATAACATTATAATTATATGATGTCATGAGACCAGTCAGTGTCACCTATCAGATCTGGAAACACTGATAATATAAAGATTAACAAGGGGTCAAATTGTAAAGAGTTCAGAATTTCAATACTATGGAACATGCATTCAAAATTAGATCTATAAAAGAAAACTGTGCCAGGTCTGAATTTCAAAATTCATTTAAAGATCCCATTTATCCACGTCTTAGAAAGATAAGCAGGATTCATTTTAAATAGGAATCTAATTTTGTTTGCGAAGTCATCTTTACTTCATCGATTTGCACACTGGCTCTACCAGCAAACTAAAAAGCACATTTCAACAGAATTGGAAAAACAACATGCCCACGTATTGCAGTATAGATATTGAGCACTCATAAAACAAGTCAGTATTTCCTGACCTGTGCTTAAAGGCTTTAATGCATAGGGACTATTGGGCCATGTGACGACCCTTATATTTGTCTAGCCAGTCCTAACTTGTTGCCAGGCTGTACTACAAATGTTTGACACACAATGTAGCATAAACACCAATGACAATTTATGGAAGTCCCAGGTATTACATCATAAAATATTTCATAACACAAAAAGGGTCACAAAATACAGGGACTTGCAATGGTTAATACGTAATATTGCCATTTTATCACAGTCCTGTCTTGTATTTTTTCATACATATCCTAAATAATTATGACATATTTGGGTAAACCTACTGGTCTGTGCAATCATTATTCTCTTTAATGCCTCCAGTGTTAAGGATTGCAAAAGAATGTGAAACATATATATGAAGTACATGATACATATATACACGATTACATAACATACATGACATGAATATACACTTTTATTACAGGAATGTACATATAAAGGGCAATAAAAACGAGAGCAGGCTTTTAGGGGTATACCCAAAAAGTTTCTAAATACAAATTTTTTGACACAAGCTAGCTAAATTGTAATAAATTGTATATATATATATATATGTGGTATTCATCACTGATTCATGACTAGGTGTAGTTACAATGTATCATTGCATTTTCAAATACATACACATTTATATCACAGAAGTTATAATTTTGTTGGTCTGGATCATAAATGGTGAGGGAAATCCCCATGTACACCCCCATGCAAATAAGCCTTAGTAGAGTTCATTAAATATCTTGTGTAATATGTTTTGCTAAGTCACATGACTCATTCAAAACTTTTCATGAAATATGTATTATCTAACTTTTAATCACAACTATTATACATATTAATTACAATGTAGTTCACACATCTTGAACACATAAATGTCTGATTTTATCCTGAATTCATTCAACTTTTCTCTGCTAGTTTATATTGCCTCCAGTCAATATGTGTTATATCTGAAGATCTCGGAGAGAGTGTAAACAGACCTCCAAGTTAATATATAATATGATAACTTGTAACCCATGCTTGTGCAGTGAAATAAGGGTCATGAAGTACAGGAACTTACAAAGATAAAAACGTAAAACTGCTATTTTATCACAATCATGTCTTGTACTTTCATGCATTTCCTAAATAATCATGACATATTTGGGTAGACCTAGCGGTCTGCGCAACCATAGCATCTCACCTCGCTGATCAAATGGAATCATAGAACAGTTATCGGCCGTGTTGTTAGCTCGACACCTATAGACGGCGCCACCTCTGATAATACCAGCTTGTTGTGTGGCTGCTGTAGGTGAACCAACCAGAAGCCTGTAACGGAAATATAACAAAATTACACCTGTCGTAGCAAATACGATAAGCAAGGACTTATTTGTCTTTATTTATTTATTTTGTTTTTTACATCAAGCCAGAAAAATTATCGTTCGATAAGATGAAAACATGTTTTTTTCAGACAAATAAATATTTTAGGTTGCATTCAACAATTTTCAAAGCTATTAGCCTATGCTAACTGTGATAAATCGAACGAGACCCAAAATATCAGTCAAGAGTCAACACCAAAATCGGAAGTTGAAGTCGCTGCGGTCATTTCCGGTGGAGACAAAGTATTGTTTTAACAAGTTCTATTTTAGACCTGTTTCTATATATACACGCAAACATCGCGTTAGCCATTTCATAAACTTTGTTAACGTCATTACCAAGAGAACCGCCTTGGCTAGTGTTTGCCGTTCTCCTTGTGTATTCCCACAAACCTTTCAAAAGGTATAGATCGTTTCTTTTTAAAGAAGAAAATGCTTAACAACCGCTCAAATTTTACGTCACAAAAATAGGAACATCTGTCTTCAAAGGCATACTTTTGTAGACGGTTTTACGTGTATTGAGGCACAACAACTGAATACATGTAATCGGTCACCCGTTGGGTTTATCCTCCTTTAAATTGTAATCCTTTTATGACGTATACATGCTCAGCAACAATAACGGACCATAAGCGATTTAACGGAATGCAGCACTGCTATCTAGAATCACGAACTTCATAACAGTTAAGTTTCAAGTACTGTAAACAAATAACATATCTTTCACTTGGTTATGATTTTGAAAAAATAAATATACTTTTCTTGATACTTAATGCTGATTGTGAACAAGAAATCTTCTGTCATGGTGTAAATTGCTACGGAGTTGTTGATTTAAGTTTACAAATAACGTGAAACTTGATTACATTGATAATCAACGTCGGCAGTTCTCTTGACCAGGTATAATGTTCTGTTCGCTAAAAGTACAATATATATGTGTGTGCGTGTTTCGTGTGCGAGATTGTAGTCTGCACGCGCCACCAAACATGCGCACGTGCATGTCCAACTTTGTTTACCTCCAGCACGCATCTGGTATCCAACACGTGTGTGGCAGGTGTCTTTTTGAACAGGCATATCAGATATCAATATCTCGTATAATATATATGTATAATATACGAGTATGCAACAAGTGGTACAGACATATTTAATACGGTCAAAACGCACGTACAGTTCGACTTTACCTGTAAAGTAAATACTTGCCTGGAAGGTGTCGGTTGACATAAACGTTGCTTGTGATGTTTTCGAGCTCGTGATTGAATCATGCAGTAACTACTGCGTCGGGGTCTTTATTTCTTCAAACGTACCGGTAGCGACTAATAGGTGGAGGCTTTTTAATTTGATATTTTAAATGTTTACCTTCCGTGACCAGCTTTCGTTATATAATAACATAACGCAGCTGCTGTATTAGTATTACACGGCATACGGTTACTATTGTGAACAAAGATGGCTGTTATACTACAAACACGGAGGATCGTGTTAAAGTTATTATAAATAAAAATGTGGGGGAAATTGGTCATGGTTTTGCAATGACAAATTGCCAAGCCAATACAAAGCCGATAATAAAAATTTCGATTGGACACTACGAAATGGTTTTAACTAACCTTAATAATCAACTTTTGTAAAATTAATATCAAGCTGCGTCAAGGCATGTTTTTCATGAATAAGGAAATTGATTGATATTGGCACGGACTTGGATACGGAATATCAGATTGGAATAATTTCACGTGTCGGAGTCCGAGCGAGCATGTGGCTATCGTTAACCGGACAACAGATATAATCCATTCTGTTGTATAATCAACTTCAGTTTGATTCATTATGCGACTTTAAACCAGGGCTGTCGAGCGTGACAGAATTACTCTTTGACACACCAGCTTCTATTACATTAATGAGATATTAGTAATATCGCGTCATTTGTTCGTTATTGGTAACAATAGAAAAGTTCCACATCATCGCCTCGATCTGGACCTCCGAACCTCGTCATCACAGATCTGACAACGACGGCATGTATAATAAGCAGAAGGGGCAACAGCCTTGGGCAGGGGTACGTCATCCTTACGAGATCCGGCACGTGTTGAATGTCAACAATAGGGGTCTTATATCTTTGTCCCCTCGGGCTCCAGAGCACACGTTACACGCTGTTCTAGTTACTATGGATTCTGGCATGATCAGCAAGACGGGTGTATCTCTGAACGCTAACAGCTTGAATCTCCCTAAAGGCCCAATTGTTTTAAAAGAGAATATAGTATTTTTCCTTAAAGTAATGTCAGTGCCAACAGGTTAATTTACATGTAAAACCTTACCTGTTGGTTTCAGCAACGGAGACACCAGGAGTAGATTTAACTCCATTAATGTCATTTTACAACCATGTCCATAACTGATTTACACTACAAATATCGATTATTCGAAATCTCTAATTGACAAGGAGGATGTGCATCCGAAAAAGATATAAAAAATGAGCATTATTTGTCAAAAATTGTACAATATATTGTCATTTTAGACTATGACTCCGTAAATATTCTCTGAAATGTAAATCTTGGTGGTATTTGAATAAATCTTGGTGACATTAAATCAGCCGTACATGTATTGCTGTAATTTTATCTACTCGTGACTAGTAATGTAACAGTGACCTATGTAAATGATGCGTTGAAGGTCATTTGTGTTTTCATGCCTGTACGTACATTCAGTGCCAATAGATAGAAGTTGGCTTATGCTGTTTTTCCTTATCATCAGCAGTATTGTAATCAAATGAAATTCTGCTTATTCGACAAAACAAACATTTTCGCTCCGTTGAGTCCGTGATGGTTAAAACAGTTGTCACTTGATATTCAAAACGCATAAATCTTGTTTCCGCTCGTCCATATTTTTCCATTTTCTCTAATCCGTCATACATTGCCCCTGTATCATACCATACACTTGATCCAAACACTGTCTGTCTGTCGGCATTGGACCTTACGCCATACTTGGCAGTAACCTTGTCATGGGTGAATATGACTCGATTGAAATTCGTAAGAAAAGCCAGAATTAAACAAACAAACACGTCAGAAAATCAAATAAAAAATTGAGAACATGTACTTATTTTTTGGCAAGAGTAATCAGGCTATGTTTTGGGATGAGGAGGGAACGCAACCGGATTGATTTATGGTACGGATGCTGAGCATACAAGGTGGTCTTTTATCGAACCCATCACATTCTTGATATCTGCCAAAGCAAGGAGCGCAATCGGCGCCATTACATAGAGAAATTACATATCGGTCCGGTTCACACAAAATATCGGGTGGTGATTTAACGCGTTGTAGCGTGGTTGAACCTTCCAATTTTTTCGTATTTTTTTTTCTCTTAACAATACGTCTTTCTCATTGAGGGTGAATCGTTACGGACTCATATATATCCCGGCTTGTGTCTTTAGTTCAATGACCCTCCACCAGATGGCGAGTAACATTATCGGCATTACATACGTACATATCTATGATGATAGATATCTGATGATGATTTCATTTTATCGTAAAACCGCTTTATTAATGTTATGACAGATAATATGGCCATTATCCTATTGTATAAGATACAGTGGTCAAGCATGTTTAAACACCAAGGGATACAATTCTTACAATAAAATATTGTAATAGGCAGCATACACCCTTAACTCTATGCTACACATATAACCGGAAATATGTGTAATGCATTGCGTACTAATTCATTTCGAAAGAGTCATGACTTTTACACAGATCTACATGAATACATATTTGTTGTTGTGTCTTGATGAGTGTCACATGCCAAAATCGTCCATGACATGGGCTGGAAGGAGGCCAGACAGTTTTTTTTTTAAACAACAACCCCTCCCCCATCTCCGTAGTGAATCATAATGTACACGGGATCGCACCCGCACCTTTGTATATAAACAGCCAAACTATTCACGTCACAGGTGTGTAGCAATGTTTATCGTACAAGTGCATAGTCATCGTATAGATGTAAGAAGTTGTATTACTAAAAGGTATTATTCATAAACAGCCATTTCAGTTTGCCTATTATATTTATCAGCTATACACCCCCGCGTGCGTCTACTAAATGTATTGTGTATGAAAAAGTTCGACCAGAGTAGACCTCGAGTGAGGGCGTCTTATGTGGTCGAAGAGGGCTTGAAACCCCCCAGTAGGTCTCAATATCCCCTTCAAAAGAGGCGTAACACACACCAAACTGATGTGATCCTTTGCGGGAACTAGTGACACACGCCCTCCTAACAGTCACTGGTCACCAAGACCCAGTCGGCCCACTTATCACCACACGGTCAGTTTCACAGCCCGAGGTCACATACCTCCCGTGGTTTTACATTACGGAACTCACAGCTCTATTTACATACATTACATTAATCATTTTCTAATTTACATAGCTTTGTCAACAAAGCTAGCCCGTGGGTACGTGAATGGTTCTAGGCATATGGCAGTATCAACGTAGCATCACCGCGGGAGACCTTTGGGCATTTCCGGACGCGGAAGCTACAAATAAAGTACACATATCTCTACAAAGAAACAATGCGTTTGGAGATGCACTTTTATTCAGCAACGATTTATTACTTGGTATATACAGAACTGAGCCACATAATTTTATCATTAACGAGGAGGTTGTCTAACATGTTTGCCAAAAATTCTAAATTATTTGTAAGTCGCATTGATCTCCCAAAACCTTGTATTGCATCGTTTTTTATTTGAACAATGATAACACACGTTATATGCGTCGCTGATTCGGACAATGCATATTGTTTTTAATGGTTCATTTGTCAGGTCAATGTCATCAGTCACAGTTCTCCCCAAAAAATATTCCAGCGTATACGGTAGGCCGGGGCAGAAACCGATCAGGGGGGAGGGGACAAGGTAAAAATATGTCATAATTTCTTAATTAAAAAGAGACCATCGGTGAAACGATACCACTACACTATCTCTGACGTAATGAAAGACGTCATGATTTTGTCAGTAAAAAAAAAATCGTCAATAAATCGTCGCGTATTTTAATTGTTGACGAAAGAATTAATGTTAAAATTTATCAACGTAACATTTATTGGAATAGGAAAATCGTGCAAAAGAATTGTTTTACTAGATATAAATGAAATGAGTTCAATCAAGTCAATACACCATGTACGTGTCTTGGCTCGACTGACATGAATTTCTGGGCACGGCATTCCTCCATGTTCTGACTATTTCTTTTTAATGTGTTTTGTACGGATCCCCAAATACAGAAAACCGGGTGCTAGCAAGGCAAGCCCAAGAGAAATGTACACATAAAATTCGACATTGATGTATTATACAGTAAACGAAAGCTAAAGCACCGGTGACAAGAGTATTATCCCGGGGGTTGGGCGTGAAGTTCTGTGATGTATGAGGTGTGAGGAAAGCAGTGTCACCACAGCGGAGGACAGTCAATCACCCCCATTAAATATAGACTTCTGACACGAAGAACGTCTTCCACGTTATGTAATTCATCCTGTGATCATGTTTCATGAATGATTCTGAGCTGACGTGGACCAATATACTTTCTTTGTACAAATACAGGCAATTCTTTATAAAGCAGGTCCAGATGTGACAGCATTCGTTAACCTCTTGTGTCCGGGGTACTCTATTTTTCATTGAGAAAAAGTACACAACACCTTCAGCTCTATAAAAACTGCAACATATACTTAAGTAATTATCCGTTTACTAAGTACTCAACTAAATTAATTGACGATTAATAACTATTCTGCAATTTTCAGCTTATGTTATGGGTACTTCTATTTATCTTGCTCAACTTGTCTAACGTGTGGATTGTAGGACACTCCGTTACTTAATACACTTCCGTTGTTAAAGGGTTGCTGAAGCTGACGTAATAATGAACTACCGATTTACTTGAGACGCCTAGGACTGTTTTGGTATTTATAAAAATACTTGTCGACACTCCTTCATGATGACGGCTTATAACTGTGATGGAGAGGTCCAACAGCTTCACCATGTCTAGACTTATTTGTAAAGTTCCTTCGTGCTAATTTACAAGTACCAGAGAATCGTATTGCGGAGAATTACAAGCACTAGGCGGTGTTGTTTCTCTAGTTTATCAAAATGGTGGATAAACTGAGTTGTTGTGTATCATATCATTTATTCCTTGTTCAAACCATGACCAGCATTAAAGATACGAAATATTTCCACTAACACATTATTATTATTATTATCGAAGTCTGTGGTCAACGTACCTATCCGTCTGTCTTGCATCCGTTCAAACCTCTATCGCATGGCCATATCGGACAGATTTAAAAGTACACATGTACATGTATATAGGAGTAAGTTATTTCTTTATATTTATTTCATACAGTATATTGAATTGCAATTGGTAACTTTCCCCTGCCTTCAAATGTCAGAGAGATTTTAATCTTACTGCTGATAGGGTTTATTACTTTTCTACAATAAAGAGTGTATTGAAGCTAAGAGAGAATATTTAAAGTAATTGGAAAATTATACATGTCGATCGAGAGCGCCCCGAACGGGCACACATACAAACGTCTACAGTAGCCTAGTGTGTGTTATAGCGTCGGCTATTTCTCAGCCTTAATAGAATATCTGCGCGGATGGTAAAACCCTCCTACAAAACTACACGATAAAGTCAAATTACCACCGATCAAGATTTACGGAGTGCGTGGCAACTTTAAAACGATTTGGTTTACAAATTAGCGGATGTAACAAAACGCTGGACAAGTTGATCATTCCCCGAGCACCAAGCATTGAATTGGAATATTTTCTGCGAGTAACTTATATGGGAAAATAACAAGTAAACTTTCTTTTACTCCAAATAAAAGATACACAGAAGTCTGTCTGTGCTTGTGAGAAAAATTTTGAGAGAAGTGGAGTATGGGGGAAATTTGGAAGGGGAAATTGGTGGGTATAGGGGGAGGGTGAAGGGGGGTGTCTTATGTCTTACCATCCCTCTCCTTGATCGACGTGTTGAGCTACAGAAAATCCAAACATACTCCCAGGGGTTCCAGTCCGTACATCAGGAAACTCCACTTCCAAGTTAAATCCTCGCGTTGAGTCAATGAAGAGGAGTAAAGCACATAAAAACACACAAATTACCATTTTAAACGTATATCTCAACCTTATAAACATATCGGTTCCACACAAAACACACATAATATCCAAACTCAAGAAAGATGAACTTCCAAAACTTTTCACAATCGAAATTATCACAATTAACACCAGGTATGAATATATATTAAATCTCCCAAACTTCCTTTGTTGGTTCTAAAAATACTTTTTTGACGTTTTAAGACGGTAAGATCCACATCTTGGTAGCTTCCAAACAGCTTCTGTACCATGAATGTATCTCACTAGCACTCCATCGCCAAAACTTTGGATCGGTCCATTCTTTCACCAGCCAAGGGGTTGCAGCGTCTACTAGCTGATAGGTGTGATAAGCCAAATATAGGTAAGGGGATCCGTTTGTGTAGCCGTTCGGATAGATCTCTGACTCATTCATAAAGAACACAGCATGCTAGAGTGGCGCACGTAACTTTTCCCGCTGTTTTGTGATACTAGTGTGCGATATTGTGGATTAAATTGTGTATATGCCGCTTTGTACCATTTCCGGAAGCGACGTATACACGACTGGACCAATGATATTAATAAAACACGCTAAAGGTTAAAACGCGCTCACGTGCCTCCGGTATCCTCGGTAGGGAGTAAGATGAGGGATAGGGCCAGTTGGGATGTACACAAAGACATCTCCTTGTTTACATTAAAAATTGATTGATAGAGGACACGACTGAAGTGTATTGGTGTATGTATCGGGATTAGAGAGAGCCTTGCCCAGACTTATTGTATTCGATCGTTCATGCCTGAATGGACCACTGTGATATCACAGGCAGATCGGCATTGGATCATTGACATCGAATTTTATCCGCACACAAAGGCATTTTTATATAACATCTTGCCGTAAATTAAAATACTATGAAATATATACGAAACTTACATCTGAGTGGGTATTTCACATGGACTCGAGGTCTGGTAGTTTTATAAAATCGACATTGGTTTCTTTTCAACACCATTTGATGTATTGATGATCCGAAGTGTTCAGAATTTGATACCTAACACTTGGAAAGAAAATAGTCGGTCCTAATAATCTGACGAGATTTTAATTTAGCTACTCGAATCATTCATTTTGCAAAGAGGTATTTTTTCATGTCAGTATGAAAATAAAAAATATTTGTATCAAAGCTTAAATAAAAAAGATTTGTTTGTTTTTATCACACTGTGAACAGCCAGCATCATTTGAGGCGATGTCTCCTCGCAGTATGCAGTAGTGGGAGAAGGCGGATGGGAGGAGAGGGGGAAGGGGGGTGGGTGGAGGGAGAGGGAGACACAAGGTAAAAGTAGAGATGTCAATATAATAAGACATGGGGCGGATGCCCTCACGTGATACAAGTTACATAACTACTTGTGTAGTTAACATAATAATGTGCAGCCACCTACGTAAACACTTGTAACTGTCACGAACCATCGGTAATCAAACAACTCCATATGAGACTTGACGAAGTGACGCGGTTACCATGAACATTTCAACGATTTATTTATTTCATGTATTTTTCAACAACTGAAATTCATATTTATTGTGTAGTTGGAGACGTAATAATGTGTTATTACTCATTTCGATTGGTTTTACCGGCCTGAAGTAGCATGATATTCTGACATAAGCCTGTGATTTGTTGTCATTGTAACCGGCCATGTTTTGAATTTCTAACCGAGACTCCCGTTTAAGATTTGGCATTATTGCGTCATGTTATATGACCAGTATTCGATGTTTTTGTCAAAGTCTGTGTTGTCTTGATTATAGGACTGATCGACTAGGACATTGTTCGCACTCTCTCGTGTTATAAGGGCTCTTATTTGTATATTAACCAGTATCGACCCTATCCACACCCAGTGTCACACCATCAGAGACAGAGTTCCTGTTAAACATTGTTCTGATTTCATTTGGCACTCAGGAGAATATGAACGCCAATAGGATAAGAAAAACAATCAATGAAGTGCACTACCTTTATCTTGAATTTCTTTAGAATCCCAACTGAAAGCAATCATTCCAACGTTTACAACAGAATTGGTTTACATTACCTGCAATACCCTACGCTATTGGCAATTCATGAGCTACTAATGCACATCTGACTTTGTTAAGGTTACACCATAGTAATGCTACAATATATCATATATCACTGTATAACTACTTGTTTTGGGGAAACATAGATTAATGAAAACATTTTCCCATCTTTTACAGAGTTTTGGCCCTTTGCTCTCCTTCACCACTAAATATTAGGCATATGTGTTTGAATAACAACTACCATTGTATGTAATTTCGTTACTTTGTATAGTTCCCCTCTCATTGGATTTCCTCAAATGTAAATGGATTATACCATTTCACATCAAACAACTAAATATTTAAATGGCCGTGCAATGTCTCTGGTTACAGGCTTGTACGTTCTACACATACCTTGACGGTGACACATTTCTGTTAAAAATAGTTATATCTAAGTGAAGATGAAACTTGTTTTCGCCCACGATTTTGATTTGATATGACATTCTGAAGTCCTCTAATTGTTCTAAAAATACACTCGGAACGTACGACTGCTATAGTCGTTACTGGTGTCAGATTAAGAAAACAATTACGTTCTTAAATGATTAATCAGTGTGTAAATATGTGTGATAGAGAATACCAGCAGACCCATATTTGTTTCACTTACGTTTTGGGGCCTGTTTCCTGTTTTCATGTTTTTGACGATACATAATATTTTCTAGGGTTGAATTTTAAATATATGTATATGTTTCAATTACATCAGCAATGTAATCCCTTTGAGTACATACGTGGAAGAATATTGGATTTCAATAGAAAATTTGAAGTATTTGGTTTACGTATTCGAAAACGGAAGTCGCATGAATAAAGACAGCACATTTAGTTTTTATCAAACACAGAAAATTATATCTATTACATATTATCGACGAGTATATCATAATATTTTTCTTTTTTTGTGACGGATGAGTCATTGCTTGTTACACGATTACGTTACAAAGTAGCATTCTTGATCATGCTAGTCTTTATCTCGTTTTAAAAAAAATGTTTGTAAAGCTTCCTCTCATGTTTGTTAAACAGTGTTATTTGGTGATTAAATACGGGGGTTTAATATCCACCGCACACTAATTCCCCGCAATGACTGTTTTAATATAAATTTATTCAAATTTGAAATGTGGACTAGTGTATCAGGCGTATTTGATAAAAAAATAATTCCTGGCTGGATATCAAAAATATGAATTGTTCTTTGATGACGTAATTTGAGGCCATATGGACAAAAATAAAATCAAAATTAAAAACACACACAAAACTAGTTATGCTTGAGATCCCGAACAAATCATTGCGGCGCTGTAATGCATACGTCATCGTTCCGTTTTTAAATTCTTATTTAACCATGTGGCATAATGGAATATAAAACTAACATAGCTTAATAACCATTGCTGTATTAGCACAGAGACGTAAGCACGCTTCAGTTTAGGTTACTGGTATCTTTACTTCTGTTAAACTTTAAACATTATAGTCAACATTCACCGAGATTATGTTTCATATGTACCAAACTCAAGAAAGATAACTCTGACCATATTGATGAGAAAAATCGGTCAATGTTTCAAGAGTTACCTTCCTTTACATATTCGTGGTGAGTAAACATCTCCTAAGAGCATGAAATATCAGTAAAAGTGCTAAACATCCTAAACAGAATTTCATTCTTGTCTGACCAAGAATATCACCCAGAAAGACAAATATGACTAACGCCATAATGGCCATACGTTGAATGGCATTTATTGTATAATAAATCATACGTCTTTCTGGATATCATTAATACGTACATCAGGCATCAGACCGACATAAATTTCCAGGTAGTATGAACGATTATGTACGGGAAAAAATGTTCATATAGATACTGAACCTGGCCAGAGTATTTTTTGACATCAATCAAGATATCAAACGGACGTCAGAATGACAGAATTAATTTCATTTTGCTAATATCGTGCTCTACTTTCTGTACATATATATAAATGCTTGAGGTTGGAATATTGCTATCACATTGTGTAATCTTATTGTTTTTGTTTACGTAATAGAATTTCCTTTTGCATTACAGGAAGCAAGTGTGACGACATAGTTGTTTGTATACCTGAAACTTGTAAGCCTTGTATATACTATTGTCTATCCCGTGGTATGGCACTGCTACGTTTTAACTATACCGAAGACAATTGGTTTCGTAACTACCAACGGTGTAAGGATATACTAATGCATTCATTGTGACTGATTTCAGTCACCGATCGTCTAGTAGTAATGGTGGGGCGCCAACGCGACAATACGACAAGATAAATCCGACAATGTGACAAAAGTCCCCGGCAACGCGAAATGATCTTTTGTCGCGTTGTCGCACTGGCGGAGACACTTTATTGCCGCATTGTCTCGCTCTAGATCTGTGAGATTGCCGAAATCAGACATTTTTTTACGTCCTTTCACTGCCATGGTCGTTCAATTACGTGCCAGGTTTGGGTGGTGGAAGAAAGACGTAGTTCACGTAGAAAAATCACTGACCTATGGCCAGTACCAGGCGACTTCCGCAGGAAGGCCTAGAACCCGCGACCCGAAGGTGGAGGGCTGATGATATAAGACGGTCAGACGTATCCACTCGGACCCCGCCATACTTATAACAAGAAAAAAATGAAATTTATTATACAAATATTTAACTATCAAAATAATTTTAGTTAGTGTACATGGGGATTATGAATACCAACAGGATATGTCCTTATCCTTTTGGCACTCATATGCCCATGAATGCCAACAGAAATACTTTCAATGCATGAATAACTCTCCTGGTATACAACAATAAGATATGTTTTAAATCCTTATTTTTATTGATTAATTTCAAAACATTTTAATCACATATTAAAAGTCGGATTATAAACCGAATACGACAACACGGATCAATGCGAGCCGGGTACACAGATTTAGCGAGAACACATCACAAAGCAGCTTAGTAATTGATTTTTATTGCGATCGTAAATACGGGTGTATTCACCCGGCTATGTATAAAAACCTCGGGACCATTAATCTCACTGGATTATAATGTCTACTTCTCGTCATGCTAAAATCACAAATGGCATTATCGATATCTAAACTGTGTATTTTTAATGAGTTTACCTGGTGCTAGTTAGTACAACCTGGACGTGTCTAACAGGACTGTTATGTTGGTGCGGAATTCCTAGTGATATTGATTCGTAAACAGTAAAATTTTACGACGGGACAGAGACTGCATAACAACAGGCAACACTTGGACGATTTCCAGTCATGGAAATAATATGACTTGTATCTAAATAATCAGTTTGTGAGAGTAAATTAATCTCTCACGTACTTTTTGGGAGAGTAGTTCTGATATTTGTGTTTGTGTATAGAGACCTGCTGCTGGACAAGCTATGGGCCTAATGCAGTGTTTGTTGACCCTTTTTCTCATCTGGACGTTTACAACAATACATACGGGTAAGTTGATAATTGTACACAGGCTAGTTTAGAAATTTAGAATTGATAGAAGTTAATAGTGCATACGGAAAAAATAGCTAGTTAAACAGGCTACAGATGGGCCGAAATGACTTGTTAATGTGTGTACATCAGATACTGACACATTATTATGAAAGCGAACAGAGGAAGTGCTGTTGCTGTTACAAGTGTGTATTGACCGCCACACTCGGGACGAAATTAATCATTAATACTATATATCTTCGCTGTGTTACTGGTCACAATTCCTGATAAAAAAGGATACCTTTGTTTAAGCTATCTATAAAGGGTACTTATACAGCTGTTGTCAAGGTAACATGTATTGCTATAGACAGGTGTGTATAATGCTTTCTAACAACATACAGCCATGTCTATGGAGCACGCGCTGAATATGGAAATTTGTTATGAACCGAAGACTTGGTAACAAAACTTACCGTTGTATGTGATCAAAATCACAGAGTTCTATTGTCTGGATTCGGGTGATATATCATTACAACTTCAGTAATCGTTGTACTGATTTTTCCCATTTAAGATTGAATTGAAAATTTTATACCGAAGCTGCAGAGTGATTCCCTTTTATCTTCTGCAAATGTATCACAGGCATGCAATGCATTTCGAAATGGGTAGGGCGAACATCGTTGTTTTCAAAAAAGCTACTACTTGCCATTGTCCTTGACAACAAGCAGGGGCCATATGAGGACTGGTGTCAAGGGGGACATGCCGGAAAAATAAACAGAAGGAAATGCTTTGATGAGTTCACTTAACCCCTTAATAGGACACAGAAAAAACTCATTGATTCTGCAGTGTGTGTGAGTGTATGTGTGTGTATGGGGGTGGGGGGTTGGTTAGGGGCATGGACATCTCTACTCTAACGACATACAAGGGAAATAAAACTGGCATATGTTCCTTCCGACTAAAGGACGATTTTACAGTTTGCTGCCGAATCTCCCAAATAAATCTATTTTTTAATAGAAAGAACATGACCCGTGTGCCATAAAAATATTGGTTATAAGTCTTTTGAGATCTCACTGCTAGGGGTATGTGTCCGTGTAATATGACAGGCTGTAATAGTGGTGATAAAACTTTGTTGTTTTATCGAGGCCATGTATGTGGTACCATTTCATATAAAAAAAAACTTCAATGTCACGTTTTCTTCACCTTCAATAAGTTTTTACAAGAAATTTCGTATAATTCGAATTTGAAGGAAAATCTTATTGTTTAATACATAGAGACCCGGGACTGTACAAGTAGTCTGGTGGTGATTTGACCAGAAATAGTAGTTTCAAGTTCTCGAATGAAGATCTATATTTCAAAAAGACGAAAATATGGGAATCACGCGTCGTTCTCACTGTCAAATGTTTTTCGGTCAAAGGGAAAATAACCTCATTTCGAAATTTGATAATTTTCTTGATTAGTTTTGTATAAACTCCGGATAAGTTGACCGGCAACTGTTTTTTAATTAAAAAAGGAGGGAGGGGTCGGAAGAGAAAATAAGCGACAGACTACACACACAACTTCAGATTTTGTTCAAACAAAATGAACAACACACGTGACCTAAGTACTCAGAAAATAAATGATACGTATAAGCACAGATATATCAAGGGACGAAATGACAAGGGTATGTCCTGATACGTGAAAACGATAACGAGGAAAACATCCTCGCTGTATAATGATAGTTTATGAAGGTGGTCATATGTTGTAGGCGTGGCTATAGACTGCTGGTTATGTACCAGTGGTGACGCCGGATGTGGGGAGGTTATTGATGAGACAACCTTGCAGGATAACCGGAAGACAGCATCAGGATGTGCGGCTTGTGGGAAGTCTTTTCTGGCACTGGGCACAAGTAAGAATATATAAATCAAAACTGGTAATGTGTTGTAATTTCTGCTGCTTTATTATCGACGCATACATCATGTCACTAACTGATATCATGACCCTGGGTTTCATCTTTATTTAGAAGAAGCTATTGGCAGATTTGTTAAATAATCGCACAAGAGATATCGATAAATTGTATTCATTATAATTAAAACCGTCCTTATGTATAAGCTAGAAATATAACATTTAACTCTATACTAAACGTTAGCATGTGCAGTCTCCGTTAATTATCAGCTCATTTGTTGGTAGTTAAATTTTGTATTTTTGAAATCTGGACAATTCTGTTTGGACATTTCCACCGGCTAGTTACAGTACAAGTCCTTGATTACAATTTTCAGAGTTGCAATTCGGTAGAAAGAATTTTGAAAGAATTCCGTGTATTGTTATGAGTTATCAATGTCGATTAATATACACTATTTAAAATCTAGATCCCCCTGATTAAAAAGGGAAGAGGGATGGTACCTATATCAATGCTTTGATTCAAAATCTTCCAAGGAAAGGTATCATGATATGTTTTATAAAGATCCTTGTGAAAGGTGAATAAAGGGTTAATATTAACACTATATATATTCTTATAATAAAAGCGTATTTTTTAATAAACATATTTTTTTTCTTATTTTACAGCATTTTCTAGTGTCGAGCGCACCTGTCTCACTTCAGCATCAGATACTTGTGACAACAAATTGGGTTACGGGGAATGCACTTGTTCGACCACGTTCTGCAACGGACAATCCCGAACTTCATCAAGTACGACATTCGTTCTTGCCTTGTGTTCAGTGGTCACATTAGTTCTAAGACTTATATCATGATCATCATATAATGCTTGTGATAATATTGTGTTAATATTAGAAATTAAATTATGTTATGAGACAAAACGGGAAGTGAAATTGAGTAATGACGGAATATTGACTTGTAGAATTCGAATCTCTACAGAGTTGTCGTTCCTTACACTGCACAATCTCTAATGACAAGTATCAACCATGGCCATAATAATGATATTCTTTGTAATTGAAATCTAAGATAAAGACAGTATTTAGATTTAAAATATTAAAATTCATTTGACTCTGCATTATCCCAAAGAGTCCAGAATATGCGTTGTTTGGAATAGAACCGAACAATGTGAGTGGAACAGTAATGGATAAAATCTATTATTATCCTTGAGTAAGAAAGTAAAAGCTTAAGGTTGATATTTTCTATCAACCAAGAATATATTTATACTGTGATGTATTTCAGTGTATATCTATATCTGTTTTTGCGTAATAAAACACTAATATTTTTAACAGTTTTCTTTTTCAATATAGAACGTGTGGTTTTCTTTTTTAAATGGTATTTGTTATCTATTGATCTTGGAAATTTATCGCCAAAATTGGCATATTGTCACAGGATGTAGTTCAGCTGCACTGTAAGGAATAATCGTACTCTAGATACATGTACCGTATATGTCTTCATGTCTTTTCTACTTCTGAAGTAATACATGGACAAGCCGAGAGATAATCCATAGGATGTCCTATCAACGGCTATGCCGACTATATCGACTCGATCGACGGCCGACGGGGGTGACTATTCATTGTGCGGGCACTACGAAACCGCCCCCAATAGCACTCTCCCCATGCTCCTGTCATTAACTTATATTGGCAACTGATGAACTACTTTACAGCGCTTTCACACAGAAGAAAACTGCCGAAGGTCTCTATTACTTTCCCGGTTACGTTATACTGACAACGAATGAACCCAGTTGTTACACGATGCTGAACGTTGGCTACCTCTGGTATATTTCGGCCATGTGACAGCACCGAAAACAGGAGCGAACGCTCAACTAAAGACCAAAAGTTACACAGTAACCTCTAACTATCATGCAACCACACCAGAAAGGGGGGTGGGGGTAGGGGGAGGAAGGGCAGCTGGCACGTTGCCAGAGTACTAACGTCGTCGGTTAGGTAACACCAAGCGATTGGAATAGTCACTGAACATGAATCGCTGTTTATAACTTAGACGAATCAATGAAACAAAATTGTTACGCCCCGATGTAAATATATGGACATTTACTATGGTGTGTTGACTTCGGGAAAACGCACATTACCATTAGAGCCTCCCGATCAGCCTTGATCGATCACCTGTCAATCATCCTTCGATTATTGGACAATTCACCGCAAGGTGTATAAGTTCCGGTTGTAAACAAAGAGGCACCAGTAAGGGGTATCAATGAATTTCAAAACACCTCTGTCCTTTCTATCAATGTTTAAACAAGCTTTCCCTTTTTTCAGTTGTTACGTTTATCATTTCCAAAGAACAAAATATCTAAAGTGTCAAAGAACTTTTGTATTTCAGATTGATATTTTTCGACAATTTTGTAATTCTAGCGTTACTCTGTAACAGAGACGCTGTCTGTACACGCCGAGTTTGACTATATCCAATTACGAAAAATTATCAACTCTCTCGGTTGTTTTTGTTTGTTTTTTGTTTCTTTTTGCTCGAATCAACACCCATGCGTACAGCAGAGAAAAGAGAGTTATTTTTATTCATAAACAACATTCGAGTCTGCCACCCTGAGTAATGACTCTTACAGGAAGTTATCTCCCGTCTGGGACCCCTGTAATACCAGCCATCCCTGGAACTTATGGTGACAAGGAAAATCTGGAAACACCAAAAATACAACTGTATGGTTAAGGAATGGGAAACAACAGGATATAAACACCATCTACAATATTTGTGATTTTATATCGGAATACAGCACAATCGTCATGGTAAGTCCATTTTCTCTAAGTAACTACGTCTGTAATAATTGAGGTCGAATTTCGCATACTTTAAATCCTTGCTGAATTTTTTTTTTTTAAAGGCAGAGAAACAAATTTCAATTATTCTGCTTTTCCCTTGACGTCATCTCGTTATGTTTTATATTTTATGCTGCACGACTATAACTTTGTTTGATTAATTGGCAGTGTGTTTCATGACCAGAAATAGAACGCATTATATTTGTGTAAGATATTTTGAGAATATTATAAACGGCGAGTTTGTATCTAACACGGTGTGTATTTTTTGTTTTTCAAGCAAAGTGAAAACGAAATTTGGATTCATTTTTAGTTTAAAAGAAAGAAATATTAAAACGCCTCCTACATCTACTTCAAAATAATAATTGTTGTTTTCAATTAATCAGGACGATAAAAAATACACTATTGAATCACTTAAATGTTGTATATGTTTTTAAAAATTAAGAAATGGAAAGGTTGGTTAAGAAGAAGGTCAGACATGTATATTTACACGGAAGTGCCTACAGATAGTCTGTGGGAGAGCTTCATACCACGACAAAATCGGCATTGCCTCCAGATATCTCCACTTCTCGACTAACAAGACATTCTTTATACGATTTATGAATATATTTGAACACCGCTTAAATATGGTTAGAGACATAAAACACACAGCAAATTTATCTGCCGTTTTCTGTGAACAACACTCTGACGCTTGACAATTTATTTATTTATGTATTTATCTATTCCACGGGTTTTAAGTCCAGTATTACATGTACTTTCAGCGGATGAGTCTTAACAATGTTCATATCAGTACCGCATGGTGCGTCCGTCCGTCCGTTAACTTCTCCTGGCCAGTGCATATATTTACGTTGGGGTAGTGCGGTACCGGTCAGTTGTATCGATGGTCCAGTGAAAGTGGCTAACGTTGGTTTGACCAACACGGAAGCTGAGCTCTCGAAACAATTGATCGGTCAACCGTGAACTGACCGATACATCGTAGGTAAACACATTTACATACCCAGTAGTTCCACTGCCCAGTGTTAAGTATGCAGTACGCCCATATATAAATATCTATATGCATAAATATGTAATTTATGGTGCATACAAGTTTACACACTGTACAATATGTTATACTACTTTACCATCATCAATTTTATTCACACCATCCACCTATTACGAAATATCTGCAACATAGTTTGCATAATATTGCTAATTAAATTGGATGTTTTCACATACACTTTTTTCGGAATGTGTCTGTCTGACAGGCTGAATGTGTCTGTCTGACGGTCTGTCAGTCTGAATGTGTCTGGCTGACGTTCTGGCAGTCTGTCGTTCTGTTTGTCTGTCTGTCTGTCTGAATGTGACTGTCTGTCAGTCTGTCAGTCTTAACGTATCTGTCTGACGGTACGTCGGTTTGAACGTGTATGTCTTGACTGTCTCTCCGTTCTTGTAATCTGTCTGTCTGTCTGTAAGTCTGTTCATAATCACGCAGTGTTTTTGATCTGGTTAATTTAATATAAATTATAATTGATGTCTGCATAATATTGCTACATTACGTGTTATGCAAAGAATCCATTCGACACCCGCAACCCCCTCCCCGTCCCCACGTATCGTACCCTGCATTCCTATTGATTGTATAAGTATAGTATGTTGATCTCTTGTAGCGATTCTTGTAGAGTTGGTTAGTCATTTAGCTAGATACTAGTTTTGTAGCTTTGACATATTATTGGCACCTTTACATATCTTTATTACATTTTTTCATGTATTTACGTTAACAACCTAGTTGTTCTGCTGCCCTCCCTTTACATCATGGAGATTTATTATGTTCATATACATAGACACGTTGTTTGTTTGTTTTTTTTTCTCATAAATTTTCATTCGTGTATATATTTTTAATTTTTTGCTGTATTTATTATTCACATTGTGCCCTAATGTTCAAATTCATATTCGTAAAATGCCTATTAAATTTTGTACAGAGTGGCAATAGGGACATTCTACTTTAAAATGAATGTTTTTTTTAATTTCATATGAACACACATGCGTACTACCATATAAAGCAATTCTTATCTTACTATTGCTTGGTATAAGAAAATTACTTGCTCTAAACTATCAAACTATGCGATTTGTTTTCTCTAAACAGAAAAGTCTTCTAGAAAATCCATACAATATTGTCTTATTAATACTACTCTTAAGCAACGACAAAGAGTCCAATCCGGGACCTGATGCAGAACATACAGAATTTTCTTTTTTTTTCATCTGAACGCGAGAAGTATTCGTAATAAAATTTCTGATATCGAATCATTAGCTCACGAGTATACAGTTCTATTATTTACTGAACCTTGATGACAATGTACCAAATTCCGATCTTTTGATTGAAGGCATCTTAGAGTCACTTCGACTAGATAGGAATTGATTTGGTGGTGGTGTAATGGTCTACGTAGCCAATTATATTCATTCTAAACGTCGACAAGATTTAGAATTTAATGGCGGTGAAATATGGATTGAGTTGAGTTACACTGGTTGTTCCTATCTTATATATACTGTGTATCGTCCTGAAGGATCCAATATACCTTTTTGGGATAATTTCCAAAATTCCATAGAATCAGCTTTCAATTATAGTAATAATATTATCATACTTGGCGATATTAGTAATAATTTGTTGAAAGTTCGAAATCGTAGAATTAATGATATTGTAATGCTTTTTAATTTGACCAAGGTAATAAACGAACCTACCAGTATTACAGCGAATACACAAACTTTGATTGATCCTATATTTGTGGGAGATACTGTTAATGTTCTAGGAACTTCTGTAATACCTGTGTGTAATGAACTTAGTGATCATTCTGCCACTCATGTTGTTATTAAAGTACCAGGTAAAACTACAAATACATACACGAGTGATATATGGATGTACAATTCTGCAGATTATGTTCGGTTTAACTCTTTGATTAGAAATTTTTCATGGGATGAACGTTTTGAAAATTGCAATTTAGATGAAGCTTGTGACATTTTTATCTCATCTTTTCTAGATTTTGCTAACCTTTGTATACATAAGAAAACCATCACTGTCAGGAAGAACGATAAACCCTGGTTTAACTCAGATTTACGAAGGAAAATCAGGAAAAGAGATAGGCTTCACAAATATGCACGTAGACTTAATCGGCCATGCGACCTTCTTAAATTCAAGCAACAGAGAAAACAAAGTTAATAATATGAAAAAGTATGTTAAACGATTATTTTTTAAAATATTAACGGAATTCTTGACAATTTTGCACTGAATAATTCTAAACAATATTGGAAACTCACTCATCGTCTTCTTGGTAAATCATCTTCATCAGAATCGGTTCCCTCATTATATGACAGTGATAAAGGTGAGTTAGTCTGTTCTGATGAAGAAAAAGCAGATGTACTAAATAAGTTTTTTCTCTTCTATTTCTAATAATATTGGTGAGCCTACCTTTATTCCAGAATGTCCTGCAAGGTGTCCTAATTCTATTGAAAATATTGTTGTTGTTTTTTTTGTGAAACCGAAATAAAGGATGATCTTTTAACATCGAAGCTAAACAAGGCTATCGGAAAAGATCAAATCAGTCATGCTAAGAAATACCGCTGAATGTGTATGTATACCACTTAAATTGCTTTTCAATTTATCTCTAAGTCAGTGGAAAACAGCTATAGCAGTACCTTTATTTAAAAAAGCGTTTTTTATCTCCTAATCATAGACCTGTTTGTTCCTGGTCATTCTACTGTTACACAATTACTAGAATTTTACCTTAATTTCTGTCTATCGTTAGAAAACAAGCTCCAAACATGTATGGTACTTTTCGATATCTCAAAAGCATTTGATAGACTTTGGTATTATGGTCTAATGAAAAAGGTGAAAGGCAATATTTATAAATGGTTGAAAGATTACTTAAGTAATACAAATCAAATTGTATACTTAGGAGAAGCTTTATCGCACACAGGTTACGTGAATGCTGGTGTACCTCAAGGCTGTTTTAGGTCCATTTCTATTTTTGCTGTATATAAATAAATCTGTGAAAATTAATTTTCAATGTCAAGAATGTTTGCTGACGACACCTTGCTCGCATATTCTTCAAAACATAGTGCAGAAATAGAATATTATATGAATCATGATTTAGCAGTGATTGACCAATGGTCAAAGAAGTGGAATGTGAGTTTCAACCCTAATAAAACGGACGTTGTTTGTACTGGTTCTTTAGAAAGACTTGATGTTCAGTTGACTTTTAATAACACAACTTTGACTAAAAGTGCTACACACAAATATCTAGGAGTAACTTTAAATGAAAATTGCAAGTGGGAAACACATATCTCAAACATTATCAAATCAGCTTCTAAACACTTGTCAGTTTTACGGAAATTGAAATTTACAGTAAATAAAGAAATCTTATCTAAATTATACATTGTATTCAACAGACCTATTTTGGAATATGCGGGCGAAGTTTAGGATGACTGTAACATTGCTGACATTGATAAGCTAGAAAAAATTCAACTTGAAGCAACCAGAATAGTCACAGGCTTGCCTTTATTTGCAAGTGTACAGTCTTTATATAATGAGACCGGTTGGGAAAAACTTGAAGACAGACGTAAAAAAAACCAACTTTTATTACTGTACAAAATGAACCATGACTTAGTTCCATATTATTATAGGAACTATTGCCTAATAGAGTAAATTAATATTAGTAGATATAAATTAAGAACTGGTCAAGATTATGTATTACCAAAATGTAGGGACGTTATGTATGAAAGGTCTTTTATATCCTCAGAATAGGGAACTCTTTAGATATATCAACTAGAAATATAGAGACAGTGTCAAAATTTAAACGTAATATTTCAAGGCAAATCAAACCTGTGACTAATCTGACTGTATGTAACAGAAAATTAGATGTGATACATGCTAGAACTCGTCACGGTTGTAGTGCTTTGAATGCAGATCTTTTCACATGTAATGTAGTATTATCTCCAGCATGCAACTGTACCCACCCTTTAGAAAATCATTTTCATTATTTCTTTCAATGTAACATGTACAACCTCTCTCGTGATACACTTTTTAGGAAACTATCTATTTGTGACATAATCGTTGATCTAGATGTCCTGTTGAACGGTTCTGTTCATCTGAACCAAGCCGAAAATATTCGACTGATTGTTCAAAAATTCATTAAAAATACAAATAGATTCGCATAAATTTATACAAAGTGTATAAATGATATTCATACTATATATCTTAGAAGTAATATTATAAAACTGCTGATATTGGGAATTTTTACATCAGTATACAGTAATGTTTATTTTATGTATAAATCAATGATTCAATGTTTGATGAAATGCTGCCATATATGTATGTAACCTTGTATAATTGTTTATGGAAGAGGACGTTCCTAAGTTGTTTAACTTGTGTCCAATTCCATTTGATTTTTGGTCAAATAAAGTATGATCAAACTAAAACCGCATGATGATCCCAATTTTAAGAGACGCGATGCCCCATCATTTGTTAAAAGTGATGCCTTTATAATTGAATTTCAAAAATTCTCTCTATGATATATAACTCCACTCCTGTCTCCCTCTTCTTTCATGTCATGTAATAGTAACGTGATGCCCCCCTTCCCCACCTAACTACCACATGGCAGTCCCACTTCCCCATTATTATTTTATCACATTGTAACTGTCTTCCATCTCCTACACCTCCCCCGCCCTCAACCACGATTTCAACCCCAGGCGGATGACGGTTTCCCCATTATCATCATTTGATAGTTCCTTGTCACGTTTGATAACTCAACCAAACCTTAAATGCATCACCTTTGACAAGGTCAAGTGTGATCGTATTTAGAAACGATTTCAATGAGTAGGAGGTTGCTCCGCTCATAGATTTTGCAGCGAGCATTATTCATTTCAGATATTAATGCAAAATTTTTTCTTAACACAACACATTCCTTCATATTAATTGCTGTTATCTAAAATATTCAATATGTGTGGCACGTTTTTGATATTTTTCTATGACAGAGGTGGCACTTCGTGTTGATTGTCTTTGTCTTGCTGACGGGACCCGGATGTATATTTGGCAACACTTTTAAGGAACTTGGTACCGACGACACTGTCCGTGAGTATATACATGGATTTGAGAAAAGAATAAAAGTTATCATCCTCTACGATCCTCTAAAAGGGAGAACACTGATCTCTTCCGGTACAAATATCACGAGAGAGCATTAAAACAAGTGCCTACTCTCCGCTGACCTTCCTCCTATATCTAAACATGTATTTTTTCTGTTTTGAGACAGCATGGTTTAAAGGCTAAAAGTAATTTGAATATCACTTGAACAAAATGTGATTTAAACAAACCTTCAGCATCAGGAAGGTCATGATCAAACCCAGCTTTCAACAAATACGTCTGTTCCTGACTATATTTGATGTTTTATATGTAAATTAAGTATTTGGTAATTTGGACCTCTTTGGTAACAATGATAGGCAGCAATTAATTAGACATTTTCAATTTTCTAATTGCAATTTTAAAAACGGCTATGACGCCGTTGGTTGCTGCATAAAATGTTAAACTTGTTTCTATTTATTTATCACATTATAGTCCTCAATGTGGCGGTCAAAGGTCGACTCGTAGAGCGTCTCACGGACTCAGTCACTCATCTGGAGTCTGCGCGAGTGAAAATGGTGAATTTTGTGAAGGCATGCTTCTACAACGCCACTTCAAAGACAGATGCTTGCCAACTCTGTGTTACGGAGGCATGCGAGAAACGGTAAGATCGATGTCAAAATCAGAGGAATTCAGTATACCAACTGTTCTACTGAAGTGGGAAAGTTTCCACCAACAATTTTCCTGTGCTTGGCTGGCTATGCAGGATATTAGAATGAAACGTGGTTTATTTGGAATCTAAAATGATCACATGAAGAAGAAATTGTACAGGCCTCTCACTAGTAATGTTGGTCTGTTCTACTGAAAAACTCTATGAGAATCAAACGTACATCTTCAAAATCATAAAGATGACACAGCACAAAAAATTTAATCATATAAAGTATTGTTTTAACGGGCAAGATGACCCGTTACAGTCCGATAATTTGTCATTCCTTGTGTGAAATATTAAAGATTTTAATGATGTTACAGAGCTATGGAATGCAGCCTGGACGTAGCCACTATAGAGACAATATCTGTAGAAAGCAATAGTATCCCGGGAAATAACAGCCCTGAGGAGGAAATCCCGGGCGTGCAGTTCCTGACTTCGCCGTTACCAGTAGAGATGGGTCTGAAAGGCTTCACAAAAAACGCCGAGGAAGACATCTTAAAGAACGTTCCGTCAACTCTCCATTCTAAAGGGAAGGAACTCTTACACAAAGCAGAGGGCAAACTTCACAAACTCCAGGTATGGTGTTCCCCTCAAAACGGACATTTGTTGAAAAAATGTTGTATAGAGGATAATAATTCAGAATATGCTATTTCTATTTTTGTTTGATTTGAAACTGTTTCATGTTTTGTGTCATAGTTTTAATCTTTTAAATGTTTCCGAGCTTCATGACTTTTCATGTGTATCTTAATGTTTTAATGGTCACAATCTTGATGTCAGAGAAATATCTTACCAGTAGTGCTATGTCAAGGATGTGTATTAAGACCTGCACTTTTCTCCCAGAAATGTTATTTTATTACCAATTACTGATCTCTCAACGAAGAATCAAATTTAAATCGGCTTCAAGTTTCAAAGTTCAGAAAATTTCCCAATCTATGTGCATTGTGTATAATTATTTCAGTATGCAAGATTGAAAACTACCTTTAGAAAACAAGAAATAGTCTTTACCTCTCACTTATTTTGTTTACTTACATGATGCATGCAATATATTTATAAAATTTAATGGGGGATAAAATAATAGTAATAAAACCAGCCTAAAAACTCGTGGATTCAGTTGCCAATGAGAATGACCTTTTGGTTTTTTTTCAGGAAAATCTCCAAACCTCTGTACATGAACTCCCGGGATTAATGCCACGTGTGCGCGGAGCTATCGAAAGCGTGAGTAGCGACATTGACGTCGACTCATTGATGGGCGTGGCCGACAAGGCGGCTGATTCGATATCACACGTGATCTCCGATAAAAATATTGACCAGGCCGTTACTTCTGTAATGGAGCAGATGCCCACAATTATGACACAGGTGAATAAGAAGATGCAGCAACTGACATCAGTGATGGGCAGCCTCGTCTCAAACGCGGTGGACCAGTTTGGGGACCTCATGAGTAAGTACGAAAATACAGAGGAGTCCAAAGGCGAGATACTGAGGTTATTCAATTAGATCACGAAGCCAGGGATAAGTACAAGGAGATGAATTCTATAGTTCTTGAGTAGATCATTCAGAGACTTGAATTCAAAGGGACCTCACTCGAATTCCCAACCCATGGCTCAATATGCGTTCCCAGTAGTTACTGCAATGCATATATAGATGGACTGTGGATTGGAAATTGTGCTAAGTCCCTGTGCTTCGACTCGGGTGCTTACTAGAAATGGTACTAGAAGTTCATGTGCAACTGTTGACACTTGATTTCATAGATATATGTACGATGACGCTAATGAAACAAGGTTGACAAACATCAGAGTCAATGATCAATGACACATGGCATGTAACCGCCTGATTTGTCGTATGTAAGCAACAATGAATTAAGAACATCATTTTTAATTTCGATAATTCGGTAAGGTAATTCCAGTGCGTTATATCCATACACAAATTACCTGAAAAAATAGGATATTCGTCATGTGTTATTCTTTAACAGATCGATAAAGGTATTGCTTGATGCAATATGCAGTAAAACATGGGTTTCCCCGGCTTCAAATGCAGTTTTGACACACAATGTACACATGTACTTTTAGGCAAGCGACCCTAATCCAATGTGATCAGATGTAACTAATCCTGTCCTCGAAACTGGTGCAAGCGTGCGCTGATACCGAAAAACTTCAAAAATGTTAAGTAATTATGATTTCAAAATTGAATATACGTTGTGGGTTCCTACATCATGATGTTATCTTTTTGTTTGTTTCTTCTTATAAACACACATTTTTATGAACTAATTCTAGAGGCAAGTGTTGAATTATTCAAATTCATATGCGTTGCGGCAATTACTGACCAAATCCGACCTATTACCTTCGATGATAATGAATACAGCCAGTTAGTTGCACGATAGTGCTAGTGACATAAGTCCTACTTGATAGTGTCGGAATGCCATTTCAATGTTCAATGTAACTTCAGGATCATAAAAGGTTAAACATTGAGAAGTCCTCTGGCCATCGCACTTATCTTCTGTTTTTGCCTTTTCTGGTACATGTTCCAGCTTTAATCATAATATCGCCAGCGACATACACGGTAAACACACCTTTTGTTCAATATTAAGTATATCTCGGAGTGCACGTTTTTAGATCGACCAAGGCGATGTCTTAAATAGGTACTCCATCACTGTTAAGCGCCATACCTCTTTCATTACACCCATTGATGTCGTTTAAGTATTTTTTTTCTGTACCTGCATCACTGTATGTATTGATAACCGCATTTTATAAAGCATTTAAAAGAGAAATTCTATAACATCGACGAGGTCAAATAGAGATGTACTACCGGAAAACCGGAAGGAGTAGGTGCAGATATTTGGGTTCATTTATAAGGCAAATTGCAATAAAGTGTTTTCAAGAGCAAATGAGTTAATTGATATAATCATGCACTTTTTAAAAATTCACATATCACGCAATATCTATTAAAAATAGCTGTCGTATATGTCTCTTCATTTTTAAAGCGTAGTCTTTATATGAAATTTGTGGATGTAAACAAACATCATGCATTTTTAACTAAAATTAAAGACAAAACTTTATACTTTTGTGCAAGCCTCACAGCCATGCGTAAACGACGATATATAAAAAATGTGTAAATGTAAAACCTTTTTAAACAGACACTCCCATTCCGGTACCAGTCCGGACCTGGGTAGACAGTCCCGATAGTCAGATCCCAGTGTCGGAGGATATGTCTGAGCCAGGCTCGATGGCACAACGTTCACACAGCAGGTGGGTGGTCAAACACTTCCGACTGGGCGGCAGTTCAAGTGGAGGGACACAAGGCATCTTTGTCAGCAGTGGTGGGTTCACAAGGCACAAGAGGAGCGCTGTGGACTGTGAGGATGTGTCACGTGATCCACAGGGGGCGTGTAAGGCATTCCATTTCCAGTGTTCGGCTTGCATGGACAATACAGCTATCCTGAAGGAATGTAAGTACCGAAATTACTGACAATGTGCACTCATAATAAAATTTGATGTTTTCATTCATAAGCTATTGTTGACCTGAATTTATGCTATCAAGGATTTAAATTCAAAATGAGTTACGGAATAGCAAATGTATCATATGTAGGATATAACAGATACCTATATAACCATGACTGCACAGGTCTCCGAGTCAGAGTCCGCTAAAATCACTCTTCCATGACTGACCTCATTCTATCTGTTCGTTCACGTGCCTCCGACTAGACTAGCGCTAAGGAGACATAACCCATGTCTTCTCGTAGATATAAATATAGTTTCAAATCAAACAAATAGCTTCAAAATCTCACCATATTTCAGCTTTGTACGTGAAAATATTGCTAAGGAATTTATTTTAAACATCAATACCTCTCGACGGGTTGGTTTTATTAGTTGCATTGCATTTTTAGTGTAACTGTGTAGCAGGTGTGCAAATGAGTGTATACCCACACAGACGACCTTGGGAACATATATTAGAAATACACAAAAAGAAGACGGTGGGCGTTTCTTTGCTCCTATAGGAAGCCATCAAACGTCACTATATCATTAAATAAAAACAATTACATACAGTAGAGACGAAAAATGAATTAAACTGCACCTTACAACAGTTTCGCCCTTATACCTCATGCCAGTAACATTAAGCGGCTAAAATTTTGAAGCCTAAGAGGCGACTAAGGCAAATCAAAAGTGATCGAAATACACTGTACGAGTGTCCCTTGTGTTAAACTTCCAGTGAAAATTCTATAATACAATTTTATAATACAAATAATAATAATTGAAGGTGTTCACTTTTTGTTTATGCTTTAAAACAGTACCAACGAAGTCCTTTTTAGTTTGATTCAACCATAACTGGCCCCATTCTCGTGACTACGACTCAAATAAGCGGTAAGGGGACGTAACCCATTGTAGCCTGTAGAAATAGCTGCATATGATTAGATTACAGTGATATGTTATACATTCGGCACACATACATGTGACTTACAAGCGTAAACGTTGAATGCACATGTGGTGGACACTATATTTTGTATACATGGTATAAAAGCGCCCATTATTTTCGAGTAAAGTAAGCAATTTTCTGATTTTAGCTTGTGGAAAGGACTCTTTGAGGATGATGCTGGCTATCAAAAGAGTAGACATTAAAGCTGCGGATTATCTGATGACATACTCCAAGTACATCAAGACGGGGACGGTCGTCCTTAAGGTAAACACACACTGTTTGTTGGCATTTATGGTCGTTATAAATGTCAGAACTTGTCGAGGTAAATTATAGTGTCCGCTAACACAACATGATGAACATAGTGATATAGGGAGGGTGTAAAGGGATGTTACGTACGCAAGGTCAAAATTTGAAACCGCTTCTTTCTTTTCGGCACTTGGATCGAATCCTGTACGGTTAGATAAGCGAAAGTGCGATTTTCTAACGGGGCTGAGGATGTAGGCGTCATTCCTTGTGATCAAACATCGCAAGCATTGATTTATAAAGGACCACGATATTTCGGATTAACATCTGTCGATGCCGACTTCGGTAAGTCGTGTTGCTCCAGAAACTGGTATTATGAACAGCCATGTGGTCTTAGGCGGCAGACCCCCCGCATTTTATCAATGTGTTAACTCTGTCTGCCTCAAAATGACCCAAATGGATGTTTTCGACATTAGATATCCGATATGATTCCGGGTGGAGGAAACTAGATATACATGTAGTTGTCATTTTGAAGATGTGGATATTTAGCATGGTCTATAATTCACTGATATATTTCTATGACAGGTAAAATATGACGAGCAGAGCTTCGATCCCCGGACATCCACATACAAGACCGCTTACGTAACAGCTAAGGTTCGAGACGAGGTCGTAACCTACAAAACTTCGTCATTGCCAAATCTCGCCGACTTGTCGACCTCTGGAGGCGAGATCGGAGACGAGATTTGGATGATTTTGGACGAAGATGAACACACTTCAGACGGTGTCAGCCAAAAATTGAACAAGGTCACGCACACTACCGGAAGTCATGAACACGCGACTATGGGTCTGAAGCATGATATTACATCGGCTGCTTCCACGGACAGTGTCATGTGGGGCGTGGTTAGTTTCGTAATGTACCTTGGGTTTATTGCACTGTAGATTAATTGAGCAGCTTTGACTTATTTCGCAAATTGACTTTCTAGACTTGAAGATGTAGCAACCAGATGTCATTGGATTTTTCTAAGAACGTCCCGATATTGTTCTTCATTTTGTGGGAAATGTTACTTAAACAAACCAAGCATTTCAGGAAAACATTATATAGTTTTGTAAGTGTTTTAAGCATTGTAAGTATCCAAACTTATATTTATTGGTATACATTGGGTTAGAAATAGACTGGCTGTTTTCGCAAAAGTTTTCTGAAGTTTTTTTTTTTTTTTTTGTCTGGGTTAGGATTCATTAATTTTTCGTACATCCGAAACAGACAATATCAACGTCGGAAATAGAATGTTATTGGTTTAATAGATCTATATCATTTGATTTATTATTGGTGCATAATAAGGACCTCTTTGTCTTTAGAATCTAGTGCTGGATATTTAATAGCCTGTTGAGGGTGGGATACGGAGATCTCGACCCAGGAGGAAGATTATTAAGTTAACAAACATGAGGCTTGTCGGTTGTTCACAACTTAATAATCTTCCCGGGGCACGTTTTACAATACCTTATATTGTCTCAATTGATATCAGTAAATGATGGTTTCCTACTTTTAATCACAAAGTTATAGTTCGTGGTATATTTATGTCTCTTGTCGATGTAAGACGATGTAAAGTCATTCGCTATTATCATAAATATGAATTTCCATTTTAAAAAGAGCTAGTGATGGTATTGCAGATGGTCGGTATTGGCCAACTGTAACGTACTGCAATGGGGACTGAATGAAGAAAAATAAACCTGATAAAATGCACAAGTATAGATAGAAATATTTTCTACAAGGAGGACTTGTTTCTTCAATTCTAAGAGAGCCAATTAGATGGGAAGGTAACAGGCTGTTGTGACAATCTTTTTGTCTAGAGCTATTTAAGTATTCAACATAAAAACTGTTTTTACAAAAAATTTGTAAACTGATAAAATGTATATTTATAATCATAATTATTGTTAAAAATGACACAACTCATGTTTAGCAGTCCCTTGGCTATGTGTACAGTTGTGCATCCTAACTAGTGAAAATAAAGATTTCTTTCTCTGTAATAATTTGTCTTTTCACATTTTTTTATCTGCCTGAACTTTAGGTTCACTATACTGAAGCCTGGATCAGATCAGCTGTAGGGTGAAATAAAATTAATTACTCTAGGCTTTTTCACACATGATGGTGGATTCTGAAATCAAACCTGCAACTTTGAGAACAATGAAATACTCTTATCATAAACCCCATTCATACGACGAAAATTTGCTTATACATATATATTTACATATGAGTAAATTTACACACATAAATAAAAGTTAATTTGCTATGCGTTCATAAGAGATTTATGATGTACCGTCAGTAAATCCCAAATTGCGATTTGAAATAAGGAGATGGACCGATTCAGACTGGTGAATTTTCACAGAAAAAGGGTATTCCCTTGCTATTTGGGCATAGGACTAGCTATTGGATGTTCCCAAATCAAGGAAACTAGAAGGAAAGTCCGATCCACTGAATGGTACGACAGAATCGTACTTAATGACTTTAAGGACGAAGATTGGTATGAGAATTTTCGATGAAAAGGAAACATTCTTAACGCATTTGCCCAGCATAGCTCCTTAGCATTCCCATAGAGACTACTTGAACTGGAAAGGGTTTTGCAGGGTGTTTGCGACCCCAGCTATATCTTTGGGAGACATAAATATAGGATGGCCAGGAAGGGTCCACGATGTCAATTCGGGAATTTATCTCAAAGGAGATAATGGCTCTTTGTTTCCAGAGTGGCGAAAGCCATTTGGGGAAAGAACTTTGCCAATAGTTCTTCTTGGCGACTCAGCGTATCCTTTGAACAACATATCTACCATTACAGAAACTCAGTCTACTTTCAACTATCGTTTAAGTAGAGCACGAATGACCATTGAAAATTCGTTTGCTCGTTTGAAAGGCGTCATATTTACAGACATATTATTCCCGCCGAAGTACACACAACCATAACAACGCTTAAAATAGAGACTGATGCAATACACACGACAAAATACTTACATAAGTAAATTTGCTGCGTGTTCATACGACAAAATTTGTCTCAAAGATGACTTTTGTGAAACGTGTAAATCCGTTGAGTTTTTTTTGTATGGGGGGGGTGGGGGGGGGAGGTACATGTAGTCCGACATTATTTAGTTTCCATTTGTATCTTTTCTAACTTTCTTTTATTTCAATACATTATATCGACTTATCCCAGTATTATTGTGTCGTTATTTTCCTTCAAAATAGGCTCAAAATGCAGGAAATGGAGCCCCTCCCCAAAGCTTCGCGCCTTTGGCGCTGCCAAATTTTTGCCCCCCCCCCCAACTTTAGATCCTGGCTACGCCAATGCACACGGGAGCAAATAATTTGCGACAAAATGTATGCAAAAGTTAATTTGCACCTAATCCTGACCAGGTGCAAGTTTACTCAACTGTGCAGAATTTGCATATGAGCGAATCAGTTCATACGACAAAAAATTGCACATGTAAGTAAATTTACATATGTGTAAAATAAACTGAGGTATGCAAATCGCGTCGTATGAATGGGGTTTAAGACTCATGACATAGATTTATTACAGGACAATTATACAGACTTTGTTGGTATTCCTGCAGAGCCTCAATAGTCCTGAGTGGGCTGGTAACCAGACACATGTGACTGCTCATAGAATACAAAACTTTAATTCTGTGATGACTTTTCAAAATTTGTGTTGCTCTAATATCATATATTTACCTGGGGGTTGAAATTTCATGGTTTTTGTTGGCACTTGATTTCATGGATTGACTTTGTTCACAAAATCCATTAGTACCATTATCCAACTTTTACTTGTTAATCACTTGGTTAACATATAAATTAGTTGAATTCAGTATCTACCAATTCAACAAAAAATAAAATCCCCCAGGAAAAGGAATGATTTTAAAGTATCTGATATTTTTTGAGTAACTTGTCACAAATACAACACATATCAATCCATAACAGATTTATTACAAACCAATTCTATTTCAAATTCCACAAAATAATTCTTTCATATATACATCCATTCACACCACTATGATAAGTTTACTCCAAATGGCTGTCAAAGTTAATCTGTTTCAGCAAGATGTAACTTTAGTATTTATTCTATAAACACTTCCTGTAATGATAAAGATTACTCTTTCTCCTCCAGTGGTTTCATTTTCCCTTTCTAAGACAAAACGACCTTAGTACTTCTGGGTTTTTGGGTCGTAGTAGTGTTCATATTTATGTCCTGCATGCTGAAATATAAAATAAGAAAGTCTTTGTAACAAAGTTTAAGTATTAAAAAAACACACTTTTTTTAAAAAAGAAAAAGTTAACTTTAATATTTATTCAAATTTATATGAATCTCACTTGTTGGCCTGGTTGGAAGTGTGGGATGGGTCTTACTGTAGGAGGAAAGCTGAGTACAGGAGGAAAACCAGCATGGTCCAGTAAGTGATCCCATACCCAAGGCAAACCAATGTGGTCTGCAGGTCACCCCATCCTTTTTCAAGTCCATTCCAGGATTCGAACCCATGAAAGTGGGTCAATGTCATTAACAAAGTTTCTGGCCCTTCATCCTAGCATGCTTCAGGCTTAATATCATCACCCATGGCCTTTTGGTTATTGAGGAGAAGTTATTTAAAGATTTTAACATATTTGGTCCCTGTGACCTTTCAAGCAGACCAAGGTCATTCCTATTAATTTGGGATCAAATCAATTTTTTAAATATCAGAAATGATTCCCCACTCTCCATAATATATAAGACTAAATTGGCCTGAAATACAATCAAGTATTAAGAAAGATTTGCATTTTCAATCAAAACCTGTCTAGCTTCCCTATTTGGGGCCCGCCCTAGGGCCCGCCCCCCTGTCCCTCTGAATTAAATAAATTTTCTGAAGTTCAGAAATAGCTCTCCGCTCTCCATGATGTTTCAGACCAAATTTGGTTGAAAACCATTCAAGCATTAAAAAGGAGAAATGTTTTGAAGCAACACGTTGTCTTACTTTCACTTTGGGGGGTCCCGCCCCAAAATCCCTAGGGGTCGATACAAAATTTCTGAATTAAAGATATTATTCCCCATCCTTAATGATGTTTCAGACCAAATTTGATTGAAATCTATTCAAGCATTAAAAAGGAGTAGTACAAAGGAGGAGTAGGGTTTTAAATACTCTAATAACCTACCTCTTTCAGGCCCTGTCCCTAGACCCCTAGGGGTCAAATCAAAATTTAAATCCAAAAAATGATTAACTTCATCCAAGGATGCATCAGACCAAATTTGGTTGAAGTCCATCCAGGTATGAAAGAGGAGTAGGGTTTTAAAGAAAAATCACCTCGGTTCACTCCCTTAGTCTAATTTGTTGTGAAATATGTGTACAGGTATATAACACTAAACATGCTTGTGTCATGTGCTGTCGGGGCTAGTGGCCCAATATACACCTGTGTCACGGTATGAGATCAAAAGAATGTCAGCAGGTTGGTCAAGTGTAACTTGCACCTGAAGGTAGTTTGTGGATTGATGTAGGTTATGTGTCTCCCTATTTTCCATTTTACGACAATATCCTTAGTCATGATAATAGAGAAATGTATAAGGACTTGAAGAAAGACACTAATTAATGAAATGTGTAAGGATTAGATAGTTCACTGATATACTAATTATCTTTGTTTTAACAGTGTTGAACTTGTGATGTAACAGATGTGGACTACCCATATTTAAGTGATCGCTGACGAGTCAAAAGTGTGCACTTCAGATAAATCACAATATTTTATAACTTAATATAGCAAAACAATAAGGGTACACTTTAAATTCAGTTGACAGTATGACCAAAATTCAGATGACTATACAACTCTAAATGAAATTAACAAAACAACTCTAAGTTCAGTTGACAGCAAGGTTCTAAATGTTTTTTACTTACCTCGTTAATTATGGTTTCTACTTCTACAATTTCGTCTGCATCATAATTGAGTTCTGATATATCTGTAGGAGTAACAATTTCCTCAAACATCTTGTCCCAGAACCACTGATAATTCTTTCCATACCTATAAAAGGAAGTGAGACTAATTATCATCACATGATTTAAATACCTACTATAAAACTGCATCATTTTGTAGGGGATTTAGTTTTTGTTGGAATTTATGAGTACTCTTTAGCCACAAATTAATATGTTCACAAAACGATAAGACCAGTATAAGTAGCTTTATTGAGCTATATTTATCTGTGAATGATGTCGTCACCAAATAGCTTTTTTTTTTAAAAAAAAAAACACAAAATTTAATCCTATGAACCTGGCCTGCTGGTAATTAATGATTTTTTTTTGCTGCCAAGATTCTTTCTGCTGCCTCAATCATGATAATGTTCTGATGATGATGTACAAAATATATGGATCCTGTTTTGAATAAAAACATCCATAAAAATATGTTTGTTATAAAACATGTGATATGATGCTCTTATCACTCTGTGGTAGACTGAACATTCAGCTTTTGACATCAAATCTTCATTGAGTCAGTCACCAAAGAGAGAGATATATCCATTGGAGAGTGAGAATTATTGTCAATTTACAATTTGTGATCAGTCCAATAAAACATCTTTTCCTTCAGTTGAATGTAGAAAAGATAAACAGAATCTCATATTTGTTTCCATATCTCATACAAGGGGAATCTCATGTATGACATTTTATTTAAATAGTTTAACATTTTCACAACTATTACATTAAAAAGCAAAAGGAGAGCTAATACCGTAACTCAAGTTCGTGAACTTTCAAGGCATAAAGGAATGAAGAAGAACTTCAAGAGCCTTCTGTCTTATACAAACATAATTATTGTACACAATAATGATGGTAGTTAACAGAAATACTGTATGTGCATGTTTACATTTGATAGGATGTATTTGTGTTTGTGCATGTCTCAGGGCTATTCCAGTAAAACATTTACCTGACACTCAGACTCCAAAATAAATCTGGTCTCTATCCATGGTTCTTATTCCTTCTACACAAATCATCAATTAAATTCATTTGGTGATATCCCTAAACAAAATCTGGAGTCTTGGGTTGGGAGAGATGGAAATAGCCTTAATCAAATAAATGTATTTTGGTAATGTATTCAATAAAATGTGAGTTACTTCCCTTGTTAAATTTGTATTTCATTTTTAATGTCTCTAAAATCTATTCACCTATTTACTACCTGGTTCTACTATTCTAACCACCCATGGAAAGAACTCTAATACATTGTAGGCTTGCTTTTTATTTGATTTACTTGACTGTTCCAGCAACTCCTGGCAATAGATTTGTTTACAGTTTAACAAATCCTTGCAATAGGTTTATTCACAGTTTAGCAAATCCTGGCTAATAGGTTTATCCAGTTTAACACAGACAAAAGTTACAATTAGAATTCAACCACACATTGAAATGATTCAAGATTTTATTAACATTTTTCCCGTAATAATGTGGACATAATTCCAAAAATCATTCCAAATAAAGCTTAAGTCTTAAGATATCTAGCCCATAAATAGAAATCTATATACTTTTCCTGACTGATATGGTGATATCGGCTATGGAGGTCATATTTTACTTTGATAACATGACATATTGAATTAATGGCAGCCATCATGAATATCATTTTCCCTTAAAACACCCTGCACTCACCATTCACAGAAAACTTACTTAGAACAGGACAAGAAAATTTTACAGATGAAGCCCGAAAGGAATAGTTCGGGTAAGCTTAACAAGAGAGACAAGGGGCTTAACAAGAGGGACAAGGGCCTTAACAGTTGCCTAAGTTAAAACGCTTCATGTGATATGTCACAGATAAGTAAGGATTACTTTAACATCATTACACACCTAATACAAATTTAAACTGTGCAAAACATTAACTGCTGTCTCAAGCTAAGGCTTTTAACCAGGTTTTAATTAAAAGAAATTACACTCAAAAATCTAATTTCCTATATAAAATCTTCCATTCCTCAACAGTAGAACATTTTTGAAATTTCAGTTCATTTAACCTATCTTTTGTCACACCCACGAGCCCCTAGCGATTAGAACAGGTCAATATGTGCATCCTATGCAGGGTTTTCCAAAAGAGCCGGTCGCCGGCCAATTTGACCGGCTACTTTGATCATTTGGCCGCCTACACCAATCCAGTTCCGTAATAATGTTCCGTACATGACTACACGTACACGGCAGGCCAGCCTCCTACTTTCACTACACAGCATACTACTAATAAAATTATGGAAAACCCAGCTATGTCATCTTATAATAATAATTCTAACCTAGAAAAGAAAATAAAATAAATTATGCTCAAACGAGTAACTTTCCTATACAAACCTACAGTAAATTTTACCCCCTCCCTGAGGATAAACGTGAGATCCTTGCGCCATGAAATTTAGTTTTGGTAAAGCACCGTACGACACTTCCATCCATGAAGAGTATTTGGTTCTACTTTATCTGGGTATTGAGAAGAACATTTTTGAAAGTTCAACAAATTTGACCCATTTTGACCATGCCCATCTGCCCCTAGGGGTCAGCCAAGGTCAATATGTGCAGCTCATCAAACTGTCTGCTTATTCTAATATTTCTTATCATGTTCTAAAAGAAAATGAAAAAAAATGTTAAAAATGTCCTATAATTTTTTTTTTATAAAATTTTCCTTTATTAACTACAGTGAGTTTTACCCCCTCCCCAGGGAGGAAATGTGAGACCCTGGGGTCATGATATTTACAAATTTGGTCAAGCATCTGAAGGCCTTTTTCATACATGAAGAGTATTTGATTCTACCATACCTGGGATTTGAAATGAAAATTTTCAAAGTTTCAATCAATCTAACCCTTTTTAACCCTGCACCTCAGGCCCTTTGGAGTTGGGTACCATACAATTTACAATTCTGGCGCGCCTTTGGCCAGGGAAGGTTTTTATAAGAATTGTTTCATTGAAATTGGTTCAGGAGTTTTCCAGAAGAAGTCGAAAATGTTTATGACTCTGGGCAAAAAGGCAATCGTAATAGGTCACCCTGAAACTTTGTCTCGGGTGATCCAAAAAGAATTAAAAAGGATACATTTGCTTTAGGATTGGGTTAGGGCTGTGGTAGCTATGGTGAATCAGAAGTCATTCAAAGTTTACTCACTCGTAGCGGAGGACACTCATATCAACACCTGCTGGTGGTTCCCATTCCATAAACTTGGTGTCTTCATTCACTTTTGGCCCATCCAAACTGGTCTCATTCAGATCTTCAATGATCTACCAATAAAAAAGGGCAAAGCTTATAATGATAAAAATAGCAATATCATCAGATTTACCAATCAAGAGGCCAAACGGCATTAAAAATTAAAAAACAGAAATGGGTTCATTAGAAATACACCACTTGTACACCAATTGCATTCAAAGTTGTTACATCCTATTAATTTGTAACCAATTTCCACGACAAACAGTTTCTGAGACTCAACTCTACACGTCTTTTTTCCCCATGAAATATCATAATTATCAGACTTTCGATTTTTTTACAGGTTTTTGGAAACCTTGTCAGGCTTCATCCTAGGAACCTATAAGCCAAATACCATGCTTCTGCACATTTTGGTTAGTCATCAGAAGTTGTTTTGAGGTTTTAACAAATTTTCACCTCTGTGACCATGAATATGGGCTAAGTCATTTCTTTCCAAAACTTTGTCGGGTTTCATCCTAGGAACCTATAAGCCAAATACCATGCTTCTGCACATTTTGGTTAGTCATCAGAAGTTGTTTTGAGGTTTTAACAAATTTTCACCTCTGTGACCATGAATATGGGCTAAGTCATTTCTTTCCAAAACTTTGTCGGGTTTCATCCTAGGAAACTATAAGCCAAATACCAAGCTTCTGCGCTGTTTGGTTAGTTGGAAGAAGTCATTTGAAGCAATCAACAAATTTGACCAAATGACCTTGATGATGTGGTTGTGTATCCCTAACAGTGTAAATATATATAGGAGAGCATTTGAAATTGGGAGTCTTGAACTTCACTAATTTTGGAGGTTAAGTACCCTCATTTTGAAGTAACAGTTGTTGCAGTGTGACTGTACACTTATGATCACCACAAAAATAACACGACCAATGAATTTGAAGGTCAAACATTTTCTGGGTTACTGTATATCGGTATGCAAGTACACTTGAGAGATCAAAGGTCAATATGTACAGAGTTATACTTACCAACTCATAGTTCAGTGGACTTGTCATGTCATAGGTTTTCATCTCAGACAGTTCCCTGTCATGATAAAAAGCATTGATTTTATAAATTATGTAGCTTATATGTGATTTTACTGTCAACATATTCAGATTCAAATTAAAGCTCCACTCCCATACAATTGTGTGTTTCTTAATGTCATGAGTACTATTTCCTGGGGATGAGGGAATGCTGTGAGAGCTGTCTGAGGACAGTGTAAAGACAGATTGTGGACAGTGTGGAAATTGTGTAAGAACATTTGAGGATGGTAAGGGAACAGTCTGAGGACAATTAAGACAATACCAGGATAGCATGAGGGCAGTGTGATGATAATGTGACCATGGTGGAAATGACAGTGTGAGGATAATGTGACCATGGTGGAAATGACAGTGTGAGGATAATGTGACCAGTGTGGAAATGACAGTGTGAGGATAATGTGACCAGTGTGGAAATGACAGTGTGAAGATAATGTGACCAGTGTGGAAATGACAGTGTGAGGATAATGTGACCAGTGTGGAAATGACAGTGTGAGGATAATGTGACCAGTGTGGAAATGACAGTGTGAGGATAATGTGACCATGGTGGAAATGACAGTGTGAGGATAATGTGACCATGGTGGAAATGACAGTGTGAGGAGGATGTGACCATGGTGGAAATGACAGTGTGAGGATAATGTGACCAGTGTGGAAATGACAGTGTGATGACAATGTGACCATTGTGAGAAATGACAGTGTGAGGATAATGTGACCACAGAGGAATTGTTGAAACACTATACAATTTTTCAGATGACATTTTGTGACTTTGAAGTTTGCGAGTATAGCTGTGACAGAAGATCATAAGATTGAATGGCTGCATGAGATAAATGAAGGTCTGTAAGACAGGTGAGTATTTAGGATTGTACCTACCTAAACTGAGGAAAGACATCAGCTTGGTAGGTGTCCTCTACATCACGGAGAAACTTTTCTGTCAGAATTGTGCTGTTCACTTCCCAGGGCTGAAGACAAGAAATTTTTTCATATGACAAGCCTGTTTAATATAAATTTACAGGGTTGGCAATGCAGAGTATGACAAAGAAATTAATTTCATGAGATGTGTTTATGTAAATAAGCTTTCTAAAAATAGATACCACCACTGTTCAGCAGTCATAAAGCTCAGTGATATCTAAATTCTCTTATGAAGTTCTTTGGATTACATTGTTTTAATCTAAACTGTTTATATATTATATATGACCCAGAGAAGAAGTTTCTCTGCTTCTGTCAGCCATTTGTTTTTCTACAAATATTTTTCAAAATCACAAGAGCATAACTAAGGAGGAAGGTGAACCTATAAATGACGAAGTATTAGAAAGATCCTCAAGTCCTTATAGCAATAACAAACTTTCATTAACAAAATCCTATATGGCGACCTGTTAGCCATTTTGCTTTTATGATCAGTCTAAAAGTAGAAAAAAGAGTATCAGTGGAACTGATAAATGCTCCCCTAAAACAAGTTCGCATGACAAATCTTAACAAAGGGCAATGATGCTGTAATTAAGGGGTTGCTGGCCATAAATTTGGTATACTGCATATTCTCCTTCATATGACCAATATTTACAACAAATTAATGCTCCTAGTTTTAATGCAAGCAAAGCTATGCTCATGACACAAAATTTTAACAAAGGGCAATAATTCTGTACTTATGGAGTTGCAGGCCCTGAACACTGCCATCTTAGTATGATTAATACATCCACCAAGTTTCAATTACAGGGTTTTCCATAATTTTGTTAGTAGTAGGCTGTGTAGTGAAAGTAGGAGGCTGGCCTGCCGTGTACGTGTTGTCGTGTACGGAACATTATTACGGAACTGGATTGGTGTAGGTGGCCAAATGATCAAAGTAGCCGGTCAAATTGGCCAGCGACCGGCTCTTATGGAAAACCCTGGATAACCTACCGTAAATGCAAGCAAAGTTATGGAATTTAGCAAAGGCAATAACTATTATTATGAGGTTGAAGGACCTGAATTTGGTACATTGCACATCACATTAGTATGACCAATGCATACACCAAGTTTCATCATCTTTGCTTAAATGTGGGCAAACAGACAAAGCAGCGATTCTATGTCCCATTTAAATTTTGCAGGAGCATAAAAATGGACAACTAGGGATGAAAGGAAACCTACATATAAAATGAAATTTGAGTAAGATCAGTCCAGTACTTCTTGATTTATGACACACAAAATGATGTGTTTCTCAACAACATGAGAGAACAATACGAGACTCTAATTTTATATTTTAAATCGACATTAAGTCTTGGATAATCTTACTCTTCCTCTCTTCTTGATCTGTTCCATGCAGTATGATGTAGGAGCATCAAGGTAAACAAACATATGTGGACTGATGAGCTCCACCTGTGTGTTGTAGTAGACACGTAGATAATGCTGGAAACCTGCAATCAAAATGATCAAGAGGTAAGAGATGAGAGCTACAAAAAAGTTATTACATTTGTATTTTACACCAATCAGAAATAAGTAATGCTTGATTTAGTTGTTTGAAGTTTACACTGATAGTATCTCAGACCTAAATTTGATTTTATTTAAATTGAAATTCCTTTAAAGACAATTTGTATCTATATCTCTAGCTAGGTAATGCATATTTGTCCTTTCCTTTCGAGACAAATAACCTTGAACTCTATTTTCCACCCTTTAGAAGAAAGATAAATATCTTCATAATTCTTTCCTAGAAAATAATTCACATATTTCTTTTTTTTTTTTCTTTCTGTTAGGATTATTTCCCTATGAACAGGTGAGGTCTCCTTGTAGTAGCTGAACAACATATATGAGGTTTTTCACATGCCATCCAGGCCAATTATGGTTAAGTGTCTTGCCCATGGACACAATAACATCAGGACAGACCGATCAGTTTCCTGAGAAAATAAACCATCACGGCAAGGGAGCATCAAACTACAAACTTTAAATCTTCATCTGATATTATGTTGGCCAACACTCTAGATGATAAATCTAACAGCTAGTTTTGACAGCAAACCTTTGAATGCAACCTTATGATATTTCCATCAATGAAACTATATATATTTATAGTTACTTAAGGACATTTACTGTGTGGTTTTACGAATATCAACATTTTCATTGGCATTTGATTTAAAAAATCTGCTCATGAAATGCACTTGTAGACAATCCGTATAATTTTATCTAATCATCACTTTATCGATATATGAACTGGTAGATTCAGGGGGTTCAAAATATAACAATCACAAAAGAATCCTGATTTTACAGAACTTACCTTTGGGAGTCAGCACTCCACTCTTCCTCAATGCTTTGGCAAAGACCAGGTCACTGAAAACACTTCTGATCATAACGACTCCCTGACCTGTTGAAATCATTAATAAACAATAAATCAAATATCGGTAAACAGTAAATGCAAGCATGCTCTTGAGAACATGTTCATGTACTGACAATAATATTGCCCATTTGACTACTCTTGACAACCCATTTTATCACTCTTGATAACTCCTTTCACCATTCTTTATAACTCATTTATCTACACTTGATATACCATCTGACCATTATTGATACCCTGTTAATCCACTCTTGATAACCCGTTTTACCTCTCTTTGTTTTCCAGTATTTCCTACAGAACAATTTTCAGAAAGATAATCCACAGCTGAATCACATCAAGTTGTTACAAATGATAGAATACATCAGATGTTTCACACATACATCATCTGCTTATCCTATCATTTCTAATTATCATAGAATGAACCCTTGTTACTGAATTGAAATTTAAAAGAGCATGTTCCATCAGCTGACTACCCGAGTCTGTATACGTATTTAAAACAATCATATGTACAAGCTGTAATCAAAACTGATTCGCTCCTTTTATAACAATAAGCTACTATTTCTGCAAATTTGAATCAACTTTCCCTTTTTGTGAATATTACCTGTATTCCATATATGGCTCACTGCTTCTCGGTATCTTTCAAATTTTCCCTTGTACAGTTCTAGTTGGGTTCTAAGGAAATGGTGAGCATCCTTGGGATTCTTGCTCGAATACAACATTTCCATGTCCCAGTATTTTATCTTATCTGTGACTTGCTCATTTGTTTCTCTGATGTCAAACCCTCGATCAGTAAAGAAATATTCTTCTTCTTTGTATTCGGGAATGAATTTCATACCGAACTCTTTAGCGATTGTTCTTCCAAACTCTTCTTTCTCAATTCCAATATTTCCTTCTACAACTATCAGCTTGGAGTTTTCATCTAATCTGTTGACTGTTTTATTTGTGAAAACCTGAGGGAACCTGATTGGTTTGCTTTCATATGGATGTGGTGTCATTCGCGGAGGCCGACTGGCATATTCTGGGTCGGTGATGGAAACAAGACTCGCCGCCGGTACATGTGATTTGAATAAGCCATTGACGGGGCCTACCTTCCGCTTCAAACACGGAACTATGTTCCTATTTGCCCAGAGAAGGATCCGCATTTTGCTAAACCTGCAATAAGAACACGATACCACAGATCACGGTACCTTTCGATACCCTAGTATTCCATTTTCGACGTCCTTCAACACCGGAACAAAACGTACAGCGCTATTGTGGACTTGTGTGAATGACACAAACTACGGAGACCAAAGAACGACTACTCTATATTTTTCCTGCAAATGATATCCTGCTAGACCCTCTATTTAGTTGAGTCGGTGTTTGGCATTAATTGCAGCAGCATATTCCCCCCATTCATTTTCCCTGATAATTATTGCTTTGTATGTTGCAATAGGACAAAACCCTCACTACCAATAAATAAATAAATAAATAAATAAATAAATAAATAAATAAATAAATAAATAAAACATGTGTATGTGTTGTTTTTGCTTAAGTTGGGACCAAGAAAATAATGATATTTTGCTAAACTTACCTAATTCGAAGTGTAATTACACATCCGTTTGCAATAAAACTGAATGGGAAGAGGAGGAATATCGTATGACAATTTCATGATTATATCATATTAATCCAAATGTCACTTGAAGATAATAAATAAATAAATAAATAAATAAATAAATAAATAAATAAATAGGCACATTATGAATATTCGCGATCTCGTTCCGCGCTCAACTAAATATTAATATTCCCCAGGACAGGATACCGTACACTATAAACATTTTGACTGCAGTATTTCAGAATAAACCATCGAACCAAGACAAAGGGTCACCGAAACTCTTTAAAAATTTCAAATGTTAAACGGATTGGATTCTCTAGCATTTTAAAGGCTGATGTAAACAAAAAAAACATTTATCTTAGCCTAGAATAAATGCATAAAAATTAAACATTTTAATTTTCTTAAATAAAAGGTTTTGTTTTCATACCATTAAAATTTTAATTGTCTTTACAAGTAGACTTTTGGGGCCGATTTGGAGTTTGCTTCTGTGTTAATATCGAAAGATTTCCCGAGTTATGCAACTGTTTCCAATAAAACGAACAGCAGCAGTTATATTCTGATGGATTTCTTCAAATGGAGCGTATCAGCATGTAATTGGTCAGTTTTTTCTACAGGAACCAATCAAATTACTTCGCTTGTGCCATGAAATTGCGAGGGTACAGAGAAAGAAAGTGGTCGTAAAACCTGAAGTATCGAGGATGCTCCTAATCAGAAATGCCGTTTTAAGATTTTTAGAGATAATGAAAGGTATCAGGTTGATACATGGTCCAGGCTATTCGATATGGATATTCAGTTTCTTTTTTACATAAAATATATCTTATATCTCTTGACCTGTTATTACCTTCGGTAAACAGCTATCCTCTTTTGCCATTTTGAATTCACAGATCAGAAATTTCCTTTAAGCAATGTTTTTCATTAAACTTTTTCTGTACAGCTTTCCCAGTCACTACAAGAACATGTAGTGGATATACACAATAGGTTAAAGCCAAACATGTATAGCTGAATAAAGATGCTTCTCAAAGAAGAGTAATAGGATTTTTTCTTTGGTACAAATACCATAGTAACGTTTTCTCATGGACAATTATTAGTATATATTTTTTCTCCCAAAAGTACAACTAAAACAATTAGAATCTACATATCTAATACAGATGATCTACATATATGATAATGTTAATATGTAAAAGTGAGTTCTCCAACTCCCACTTTGGTCAACCACTCACTTGGTACGTGTTTTAGGTGCACTTCTTTTGTATCGACGTGCACCATGAAAGATTGCACACATACACACACACGCACACCCTCACACACACCCTCACACACACACACACACACACACACACACACACACACACACACACACACACACACACACACACACACACACACACACACACACACACACACACACACACACACACACACACACACACACACACACACACACATGCGTGTGTGTGTGTCTTTATGGAAAAATTGAAAAAAAAAAAAAACTGCTTCACAAATCGAGAATATTATGAAACATTTGAAAAAACAGCTGAAATTTCTGACCGCCTACAAGTATATTACATGCGCAGGGTGATAATTATGTTGACTCGTCACCTCTTAAAACTATTATGAGGTCATCAATATAACTAATAAAACCTGATAAATATGTCGTGTTAGGAATTCCAACATTATTTCTATAAATTACACGTCATCCGGCTCTCCTGTGTGTACAGGTGATCTAAGGAACAGTCTTCATAAGCTGAACTAAGTTGTAGTATAACTTTGTTCCTAAAATCAAGTTCCATTGCATCAATCGTGTATTCTTTGTAAAAAGAAATATATTCAGAGTTTTAATATCTATTATCATGGGTTTCTCAATTCTCTGACTTGGAATGATTGACAGATTTTAAGAGAGATGTCACGGGCCAGATAATTGTTTTTTGATCAATATAAATAAAACTCGCATTCAACATATGAAGAATATTCTAATAATTTATCCATTAACATTTGTGGTTAATATAGCCATTATTTGATTTGATTATTCATGCTCATCCATAACCACAGATATTCAGATAATATATTGATACAGAATTCACGTATACAGTGTACAAACATGTCATGTATATATATTGTACCGTACTGTAAATATACCCTGAAATGAATGTCCCAGTTTTAAGATGTTAAAGAGCACAACATTTTTTTTTTCTGTAACATTCTGTTTGATTTTTTTTTCTTGCTTTTTCTCTCTCTTCTTATTTTCTCAGATGACCAATTTTAGAAATGTAGAAAAAAAATGTTGCTCAAAGTAATCGGGTTAAACATTTGCGATACAGATAATGGAAACTAACCTGTTTAGAAAAAAAACAATCATTTTAATTAGAGTTACTTCCCTTCATGCATGATTCAGGAGCCACGCCCCTTTTTACATAGCTAGAACACATTACGATTTAACCTGCAAGTATTCTTTTTATAGTTGTTTGATATTCCACTCAGTTTTTCTTTCGGTTAGGAATAATGTTAACGTTACTGGATGTAGCATGTAGCATAGTCGGGATTTACGGTTTTCTTAAACAACCAATCGGAACCAGACGATTCACAGTACACGTATAGATTTTATAGCTTTCGAAATGCCCCGTGTATGGTACGGCGGACATCAAAGTAATGTTAGATGAGGAAAAATGTCTTTCCAATTCGAGCCCAAAATCAGAATAAAGGGAAAAGGTTAGGCGGGGAAAGGAAAATAGAATTTAACAGCGCATGTCACAGGTCAAGTGGTCAGTTATTGTCCACAACATGTACAGTATGTAACCAACAATAGTATGCCTATTCCGGGCCTGCTAGATATATACATTTGGCAAAACGACAGTAACCGATGCTTACGCGAATGGACACGAAAGTAACCGACGCTTGCACGAATTAACAGTAATAAAAGACAAACATATTAACTAAAACAATAACATGTATTACTGGATGCAACAGGTTAACCGTTTAAAAGGTAGTATTATGCAATTAACAACTTGATAATCGATCCGTTCATTCAATCCGATATCCGTAGACAATTTTCCGAAGCGAGTCTTTACTTGTTTTGGTTTTACCGACAAGAACAGACAAAACGCCTACACTGTTGTTGAGTGTGTGTATATAAAGCGAAGGCAATCCTCAGGAGACGAAAAACTGCCAACAACAACAACAACAACAACAACAACAACAACAACAACAACAACAACAACTCAGGCCTTGTGTCACTCGGACAGGGTAAGCTGTAGCGTGTGGTCAGGATGTGGAGTTGTAAGACTGACCATTGACATTGTCCTGATTTGGAAATATTTAAAAGCTTAAACTGTTCCGACAGGTGCACAAACTGATACTTGTTATCGAAAAAAAAATCATCTTCGCACTTAACCTGTAGCGTTTGAAAAAAAACAACTTCTGTTCTGCTTCTTGTAAAGAAATGTACATCTTCCTGTAGGCTAGCCGATCTTTGCATAAATAAGAACGGATATTATCAATGATATACTTTACCTACAGGACATTCACGTCAAATATGCTAACATGACGAAAATGGTCGACATTTTCTTCCTTGTTTCATGTACATTGATGAACAACCAATTACACTCGACTTTGGTGATGTTTATGTAACAGAGGTCATTATTTATTTAAATACCCCGCTAGGATTTGAGCTTAGGACCCTAGGGGTTATTAGTCTAACTCTCAACCAAAGCTGAGCGGTAAATTGAGACTAACATTTACCGGGATACACATATACTCTTTAGTTCTAATACAATGTTTATTCGATACTAAGCCTACATCTGCTAATAAGCCCACCTACATCTATTGCCAGTAATAATACAATAAAATCCTGCCATCAGGTCATCTACTTCTATGAATCAGAAAAGGGATAAAACAGCTGTAACCTTTTTCTGAGCTACAAGTACATCACCAAAAAAACACAATTTATGTTGATATACTGTCACAAATTTCAAAACACATTAAGGCTATGCCCTTATTCTCCACAATTCTTTCATGCCCCGTAAGCTTCGTAATTTGATCATTATATTGATTTAAAACTGAATTAAGATAAATTAGTTTATGCAACTGTAAACATGGAAATAATAGTATTTTGCAATTAGTGACTTGATGACATTGATAAATTTTTATTAATTATTCTATTTTCAACGTAACTGAACTAAGCTAAAACCCCATTTTACCATCTGATTAAAAAATGTTGGAATGCAAAAGATATGAAATATCTGAACCATGTCAGAAAGCTATAACTGTTAGTTTTTTTTGCGTGTTGACAATGAGTTAATTCATACTAATAATGCTGTTTATTTCTGATTGGTAGATAAATATACATGACCGTATAGCCATGTCTAAAAATCAGCAAATAAAGCGTGCCATAAAGAGGCTGATGCAAGATCTGACAGAATTGAGGAGGGAACCGGTGGAGAATGTGTCTGCCTGTCCGCTGGACGCTAACATGTTGGAGTGGCACTGCAACTTTAAACATGATCAAATAATCTACCATCTGATCCTTTTCTTTCCTGAGAACTACCCCTATGACAGCCCAAGTGCAGAATTTGTTCCAATCGGCTTTCAGTACAATAGTGGAGCCACAAAACCTGGAAAAAAGGGAACCAAGGTCTGCCTGGATATTTTTTCTGACTTTGCGGATATACATACAGAGTGGAAGGACCAGAAGTCTGTTGGCTGGTCACCAGGATATACAATACAAACTGTACTGCTCAATGTTGTGGCCTTTCTTGCAGAGACTCAATCTGGCGACAGTTATTGGATGCGGGATGCAACAGAAACTAATTTGAGACTTTCCAAGAAGTTTTCATGTGAGGATTGTGGTCATACTTACAAAAAACCATTTCCCCCATTAGATCATGGAAAACCAGAAACACAAACAAAGAAAAAAGATGATGCGAAATTGAAGAAAGGGGATCCGAGTCATGAAATAATTGATTATATGTCGAAGGAAGTCTTTGACAAGGGAATCCCAAAAACTGATTCTGAATTGTTTGGGTACGGTCTAATTGTCTCCGGGCCAAAACATAGACCCTCACTGACCACACCTTGTGAGGCATTCAGTCTGGAGTCATTCGAAAGCATGAAGAAAGCAACTGGAAAAGTTAAGAGTGTGATGCGTGAGGACATCAGCTTCTTTCTGCCTATGTTTATTCACCCTCCTCATGGGGCCAAGATACAGGGAGTTTTTGAATCAACTTTGAGAGAATGCGCTGCCATACTTCCAAAATGTAACCCAAAGAAAACTCCAATTGAGGACATGGTGCTAAAGGTAATTCCAAATCTGATGAGTGCCACCGTGGTGGAGTTTAGCAAGGGGACACAACACACCAGTGACAATGCGCTCAATGGCTACTTTGCTTTACACAGACTAATGCTGTGGGCACTGGATACATATCCTACCTTACAGAAGGAGATTGACAGCAGACTGAAGGTAACATACTACAGTAATTTCAAGTAACTGTTGTATGTCTGTTAATATCACAGTTTGGCTATTATAATGATTTCAACTTATAAAAGAGAAGTGATATTAAGTAGACATAGTGTTTACTGGGATTTGGCTACTCTTAATATCTCTTGATTCATAGACCATTTAAAAAAATAATTACGTTATGTTTTATTCTGTTTGATGAAAGAAAGTGGTATTCATTGAGAATGTTATCTTCAGTATGGCATTTTCACTATGAATCTGCACCAAAATCAGATGGCATTTACAAAATCTATAATTGGCAAGGCAAACTTATTCATGTATTCATTTTTATATGATTATATTTGTAACATGCTGCATGCACAAAAGAAACTGTTTGCCATGTACTTCTCTCCTGTTTCCTTAATCTTATTTCCTGATGCAGTTTGCATTCATATTAATTATGAAGTATAGAATCAAGACTCATTAGTTTTGTTAGCTGAACTAGTAAAGTTATTTATGGTTTGGTTTTAATTTTAGATTTTTATTGACAATGAAGATCAGAGAACAAAGAAGGCATGTCCACATATTGGGGAGTGGCTCATGCTGTTGACAGCTTCCTCCAAGTACAGGTAATATTTTTATGTAAAAACTATTGCTAAGTAAAAGATTTATGTTCTGGTTATGAACAGTTTTGCTTAGAAGATTTTGTACTTTTTCTGTGCAAATCTGTATAAAAATAAGTGTATGGATATTTTTCCAACTGTATGTCATAAGATGTGATAAAACAACGAGGCAAACAGTTCTTACAACAATTGATACTTTTCCACCTGTAGAGGTTTGTAGGTTTTGCCTGTCATAAGGCGTGAATTCTTTAGACAAGTTTAGTAAGACACCATATATCAGAAACTGTGAATGACTAATAAGTGATGTAGTGATAAGCACAAGAGGGCAATGATAGCTTGGGTGGTAGACCATTTGCCTTCCAGGGAGCATGGTTCTACACTTTGGGTGGCAGTTTGTGTTTCTGATCAGCTGTCACAAGGAGACCATGTCTTAAAATGTCCTAGCTGTTCATGAGGCGATAAACCCCGCAAACAAACAAAGCCATAAGGTGCTGGCTTTATAAAACTGTCTACAGGGAGAAGTTTCCACACAGAATTTATTGAATTATAAATATGTGGAAAGGAATTGATATGGCGTTCAGATACCTGTAACATAATTATTCTGTAATGAAATGACAAGGCTATATATGATAAATATATTGGTAGATAAGTGAAATAAGCCATTCTTAAAGGGCTATAATTAAACACACTATGACCGGTAGATAAGTGAAATAAGCCATTTTTCAAGGGCTATAATTAAACACACTATGACCTCTTTCACAGAAAAAAATATAGGGAGTGCACTTATTGTGGTAGGTGCTCCTAGTAGGTCAAATATGGTAACTATTTGTTTGGGAATTGGCATCAACAGATACAATTTTTGTTTTTGGACACAGGTGGGAAGGTGCTGCTGATGCATACCTGTCAGAGAGCTGGAAACGTCATGTGATGTGGTATGTCAAAGAAGACTCACAACTTGGATTCCTGGACACCGATAAGAAAGTCAGAATCTCGAAAACATTTTCCAGTACACAGGTCAGCCGGAAACTTCTAGCCTTCCAGGTATGTTATACTACATCCTCATTCCTATTGAGGTATAAATCATATTCCCAAAAATAATTTTTTCCTCAAATTTATAATTTTTTTCTTATATTGTGGTTACTATCAAATTTTAATTTACAATATCATACATACAAATTGATAAACTCGTTCAGAAATTTACAATATTTCATCAGGGAATTTTGTGGGTATTCAAGTTTAATTCACAAAGTCAAGTGCCTATGAAAGGCAATGCATTTATTTTTGCCAAAAATTGAAATTAAAATTTTAAGGCCACATGAAAATATACTATGTTATTTTATGTTATTAATGTTTAACATTTTATACACAGTTACCAACATCAATGTCACTAATCAATAGTCATCTAGTATCAAGGATCATAGCACTTCAAAATCAAGGGTTCAGGAGTGTTCTGAAAGGTCATCACAGAAAACGACCTTGTAATCAATTCTATTGTATAGTTATCATATCTGTATCTATTGAGTTGATATGTTTTACGTTATGTTTGAACAATATTTTGACTTTATGAGATCCAGTTATTGAAATTGAAAATTTTAGATACTGATCAAAAGAAAAGAAATATCAGGTGAATTTAGCATTTCTTCACTAGTTAGACAGGTTTTGATATAGCCAATATCAGGCTAAAGTGACAGTCAGGGGGGAGTTGATGAAACTCTGATATCTGTGTAGGGACTGGCCCTTGTAAATGGTCTTTGACAAAGCTGACATTTTTTCATGATCTTTGTAGCAATTTGTCAAATACAATGTACATACTTTTATATGATCTTTAATAGATAACTGTTATTTCATCAACTCTGTGTTATTGTCACACCTCAATCACTGAAAGCAATCAATTGCTATGTGACATTTGGTCATGTGATGTACTTTGTCAAAAATTCTAATGCTTGAATATTGTAAATGATAAAATTGCTCAACGTTGATTTCTTACTTTCAGGTCCTGTTCCTTGAAATTGCTATGCCAAAGGGAATGAGCCAGGATGCCATGAAAAAGAGATACGATAACAACATGGGTTTCCCTACTGATGCAATGGTGGCAGATATGAAGGCTTGTGTCCAAAAAATTAATGATGTTAAGACATACCAGGATTGGTTTAAGGTGAGTTTATGGGTGAATTATGGCAAGATTCTTGAAAGTAAATAAGTATAAAATGGTGTCAGACCGCTAAGCTGGGCATGGAGTATGCAATTTTATTCTCACGCTTTTGATTACAATGTCCTAAATTATACACAACAGTATTCCCTATTAACCCTGAATGAGGGTATGGATTGGCAAAACTGAGAACTTGTAAGGAAATGGATATTTGAAGTTGCTAAAAAGGTAAAACACAGTTGATCCCCATTCATATGAGACTGATACAAAATGTCACAGAATTTGTCATTTTAACCAAGTCTCTTGGGAGGGAAAATGAAAATGAACACTACAGGTTTTATAAATCCCATATGAAAACGAAACTTGATTCTATTCAACCTATTTACCTTAGAGACCTTAGGCATAATGGTAAAAATAGATCAATACAAAATATCAAAGGTTAATATTCTCACTCCATGTATCTTCCTTGACACCCCTTGTGAAATAATTATCTCTGTAGACACTTCTAGTGAACTTGTTACCTCCCTAGACACCTCTGGTTGACCTTTTGCCTCCATGGACACCTGTTATCAACTTGGTCTCTCTCTTTGTAGACATCTCTAGTTGACTTGTTGTCTCTCTGGACATCTATCGTGGACTTGTTGTCTCCCTAAACATCTCTAGTTGACTTGCTGTCTCTCTAGAGACATCTCTGGTTGACTTGTTGTCCCCCTAGACATCTCTAGTGGACTTGTTGTCTCTCTAGACATCTCTAGTGGACTTGTTGTCGCCCTAGAGACATCTTTGGTTGACTTGAAGATAAAGATAAACTGTCTATAGACTTTGATTTGGATCTGCATGTAAGATTACAGTATGTTATTGTATTGTTTATCACAGGTTGTGAACCTGAAGCCACCCACTGATGATCAGGTGTATGACAGACTTTTGGTCGCTGTTAAATATGCTATATATACAGATGGTTATCACTGGACATTCTGGAAGACAGGGGGTGGCTGGAATGCAGTACTGGCCAAGTACAAGCCATATGTACCCAAAGAAAAGAAAGGTATGTATGCATCTCTATTTCACAACTACTTGTAGTCTTATAGAAGAAGATACAGACAAGAGGAAAATGTTGTTTGTGTCTTTTAATTGTTTTAGTTTGTCTAGATGTGTCTCCATATACTTCATACTGCGTGGTTTCAGTGTTTTTTTATTGGGACTTGTAAATTATAAATATTTGAAGCTTTCGTTCATATTTAGTATCCCAAATCTATAGCGATCAAACAAGAGAGTAATACATTTCCACATGTAGTTTTTCAACTTTGTATAGAATTTATATAAATTTCTGTAAATGTCTGTGTCATTTTATGGTGGGGGGGGAGGGGTATGGGAGGCATATATTCAAACTTATGTCCTTTAGTTAGGTCACATTCCAAATCAGTGTCATATCTTGAGAATCTCTAATCAGGTCTGGTTAATATTTTCACCTGCTCAGGAGCATTCATGTCTGATAGACAATTTTTTATTTATTTATAAATCTGTTTGTTTTGTTTCAGCTGAGGACGATGGCAAGGCTGGATCCAGTTCAAGTGGCAAGGGGAAAGGAAAGGGTAAAGTTGAAAAGGCTGACCAATCAGATGATGAAGATGATGAACCAGCTCCTGCTAAGGCAGTTCCTAAGGGACGTGGTAAAGGGAAGGCGGCATCTGCACCAAAACCGGTTCCAAAAGGCAGAGGCAAAGGGAAGGCAAAAGCTGTGGTGGAAGATGATGACGAAGAAATGGAAGTAGAGGAAGTTCCTGCAAAGGGACGAGGAAGAGGCCAGAAGAGGAAAGCAGAAGAACCAGCAGGTCCTGCCGCTAAGAAAGGACGAGCAGCACCAAAAGGACGAGCAGCACCAAAAGGGAAAAAGAAGTGAGGAATGTAGGATTGAAAAGCTGATATAATAGGTGGATGACTGAGGTAGTTAAGTTTGTTTGTGATTTTCCTGGAGTTTCTTATTTTGGATATATTGATCAGTATATGCTGATGAATTTTGTTTCAAAACAAGGTTGTTTTTATCTTTAATTGTTATATTGTTTATGTGCAATGTATTTTGTTGAGTTTAAATTTTGCAGTTTGTAAAAAGATTGCGTAATTTCTGGCACTTGATGTCATGGATAAACAGTAGTCACAAAAGAAAACACATGTACTAAAAATTAATGTAAGTTTTTGACAGTTTATCATTTTGTGGTAGCCATATTTGCTCAGTTGTCAGACTGTTACGTTATGTATACGTATATAAGAATCTATCACACACTTATGTTACTTATTTGTGAGGGAGAAGGAAGTTGAGGATGTTCCAAATTTTCTGAAAGTGATTTCTAGCTCTGTAAATGTGAGAAAATATACATTTAAAAAGAAATCCTCTAGTTGGAAGATTACATGTACTTTAGACAATTGTATCATTCAAACATATAGAAATATAGATGAAGCTCCCATAAGTTCAATTGATCAATCTTCAATCTTTTTTTTTTTTCCTGTGTTATTACTCTATCCAGAATTGTTACAAGAAAATATACTTTATATATCGTGTTCCAAAAGATTATAATGCAAGGAATGCTATTTATAAAGTAATGTAGATTTCTGCATTGTTGGTAATATTTGTGGGGTTTTAAAAGATTCACAATCGTTTAAGATAGCATGAAAATAATTACTCATGAAACATTTTAACAGTCAATCAAAATCTTTGAAAATGCAGTTTATTATCCCTGTATTGTTTACCAATAGTCTTGTGCGAAATATAATCCCCATGAACTTAACCAACTTGGGACATCTCAGAAATAATGACCCTGCAAAATAGTTTTGTCTTGTCATAAATATCATAACTCATTGATATGACTCACATTTTAAAAATCTTCTTCTCAACACCCAGATATGGTAGAATGAAATTCTCCTGATGGTTTGAAGGGCCTTAAGGTCTTTACAAAAATTGTGAATTTCATGACCCCAGGGTCTCACATTGTCCCTTGTTGAGGAGGTGATGTTTACAATAGTTTTTACAGGAAAACTGGATTTTTGAGAATAAAGGTGTCTAGTTTTGCCGTTGGAAATGGCTTGGTAAGAATAATCAGTATTAATGACAGTTTTGATGGTATGTGTTTACTGACACTGACTAAACCTTAAGGACTAAAAAACATATCATTTAAGTCTTACTATCATCCGTGTTACAATGTCTTTTTATTGACATTTAAAACTACTTGCTCTGTAACCTTTATATTCAATATTGCTTATCTCATGTGACTGTCTAGGCAGCTAGGCCCCTTGTTAGTTAATAGAACCTAAGATCTTTTGTGATATATATTTAAAACATTTTATTGATGTAATTTAATTGGGATCTTGTGTGAAATTTTATGCTTTTTATGAAAACAAAGCAACATTGTTTTTTTAACTTGTGTGCTATATGGTATTTAACCTGTTTTATTTTTATTGCTTTTGATATATTGTTGACAGTACTTACATAGAATATTGTACTGTTGTAAGTTGCTCCCAAAAACAAATTCAATCAACTGATTTTCTCTAAAAAAAAAAGTAGGCTTGTTTAAGCTTGATTCAGCTATTGTCACTTAAAATACATGATATTTTGAATTTAAATCCATGTACACAGGAATTTATTGCTTCAAATGTATTCAGATAAACTAAAAGGAAAGAAAGCAAAACAAACAAACGCTATACTGTAGATTATGTTAATTTTCCTTATTTTTAATTTATTCGATATGACTGAAAATTATATATGGAATAATAATGTCACTATTTATTTGGTATCCTGATATTTGGACCTGACAGAAGAAAGAGTAAATATTGGTGATTTCTGTCTTCATGATTTCTTTCCGGGGCAGGTAATCATGGACTTGTTTGGTTGATTGCAGGCTTTCTGTCACAATGGCACTTCCTATCACCAGGGTTGTCTCAGATGTTCTGGTGACATGTGTATACATGTACCTAGTTAAGTGATATGGAGTTGCAAAGAAATGAATGTTGAAATAGTCGGCATATCGGGTCAAAAGGACTCGGCAGCCATTACTGAAAGTACTATTTTCAAGTACACACATACTCATCAACATAAAATAATTGAAAAAAATAAATGATATTTTAATAGAAGCCTTATACACGTCTGCACAATTTAGATATAGTATAATATTTGTTTCCAGTTTGTTACATATATTTGATATTTAATAAATAGTTGAAATAAACACTTGACAAATTGTTGACTCATTTTTTAATGATTTAAGGGAAAAATGTAATACATGTACAAATGAGCTGGCTACTGCTGCCTTCAGATAAAACACTACTATTGATGATAATTTTAAATATTACAGAAAGTGAAGCAATATTTGTTACCCTGTGATGATACACCGTGAATTCACTTGGTAATCTGGATTATGAACGGTTACAGAAGTACAGACAATGAATCGAAAATGGCCAACAAGATTCCATTCAGAAATTTTCCTATATTTTCCGAGAATTGAGAGATGCATGTAATATGTAATGTTTAGCTTACACAAGTTCCTGACACAACACAAACACATTGATATGATTATAAATTTTATGAATGTTTATGTGGACTTGAATAAGATATAAATTAATAATTATGAAGATAATCTCTGCAATATGTAATCAATATGCATTTTTTTTTATTTTGAAAGCACATGCTATTTCTGTAAAAATATATTACAAATATTCATGACAACCCTTATGTGTGATAAAATAAATAAATTAGATGAAGATAACTTAATGACACATGAAATATATACATAAAATATTAAACAGCATTTTATATGGACACTCAATATGTAATTAATTATTAAAATGCAATATAAATATTCCATACAGGTAAATTGATATACAAACCTACCTACACTTCACTCAATGACCATAAACTGGACATTGATAAAATACATTTTGGATCAAGTACTAAAGACTTAAATAAAAGATATTTAATTCTTTTATCATTCAAATAAACGTGAATTTTTTAACATTTTCACGAGGAGTATGGAAGTCTTTCTAATCATGTTTTATAGTGAGGCGATTGTTTTTATTATGAATTGCGAACGCCTCTGATGACTTGAAAATTATAAATATATATTTATAATCAGAATATTGGAAAATCGCTTCATGCTTTTAAATAGATGTGACGTTTTTCGACCTGTTAGCACACATTCAAATCGTTCTTCACCCGTTGTCCACCAATCCTTTCCTTCTTAAGTAAAGCGCTGAGTGGATCTTTCTCGGATTCCATATGTAGGTTCCCGTTGGTCCCTAGTGGTGCCCTTTTGATTTTCGGGACTGACCAGAAAAAAATGACTGACAGGCGGCTATCTTGGATTTTGACAATGAAAGATTGTTATCGCAATTTCTTGAGACGAGCAGGATGAATCGTTTTCAAAATTCATATGTGGGCTATCCATGATCTCTTGTTGTACTCTATTGACGTTGAGAGTGAAAAAGAAAAACATAATGGCTGACAAGCGGCCATATTGGATTATGACAATGAAAATTTGTTATCGCTTTTTCTTGGTGGAATTTTTATGTGCCCTTTTCATTTTGGTACCGATAAAAACACGATTATCGCCAGGCGACCATATTGTATACGGCAGTAAACTATTGTCACTATTTTTCACAAGGAATCTTAGATTTCATAATTTAGAGCAAAAGAGGGGACAGAAGAGAAATAAGGGGGAAATATTCAACTTTTAAGAACGATTAAAGATCAAACACTGGTGGACGCCAATATATCTGTGTTATTATATCTCTATATATTTTCTATATAAGCCGCAGTTACCGGCTTTAGAGTCTAGAATGCTCATTCCAAACAAAGATATATGATATTTTGAAAAAAGAGACTATTTTCAGTAGAAGAGGGTTGGACGAAAAAAAATATATAGCTTGGAAAAATTTAGTCAAGAAGGATTGGTCAGTACAAGGGTCCAGCAGACAGACAGACAGACAGATGGACAACTAGCGGAAATTAATAAATATCTATTGTATCGTAAGACAATGCGTTTGACGCTTTAGGGAAGCCTTAAGTGGAGGTAAATGATAAGCAATGTTCATTATCCACACATGTCACATGCTAACGCTACACATTATACACATGAATATATCAGAAAAGCAAATTGTTTTTTTTCTCTGTAAATTTCTCTATAATTTTTTCACAGTAAAAATTATACTGTGAATATCCAACAGCAGAGGTCATGGCTGTTATTATAGAACCTAAACCTAACAATACTGCATGTAATCTCATTCGTCGTTCTCTCGTTTACTCCTTCGGTAGGCAACATGTTTAACTAGAGTTATCGTTCGTTTCGTACTTGTATCATTAGTGTTGACTCCTGAAAATTCCATTTATGAAATAACCGAAGGTCCAGGGTAATGTGGCGCGCTATTTGTGGTGTTGATAGAGCAGGTTTAGCTATATCGATGACCGATCTCCTTTTAGCCATGATCTTCAATTTCACTGGATAAAATCGTACACTGAACAGAAATCCTAGCACGATATTCCAACGGAACGAATTACCACTTACGTTGACACGCGAGCCTTAATATTTTGGTCACACCATCATTACAGAAATGCACATTTGAACTTTTCAATGAAAGCTCCTCGGATATATAGAAATATCAAATGTTTTCCTATTTTCCCAGTCGAAAATGTATCATTTGATTTTGAGTTTCATGTGCAGCGAAGAATTTTGTTACTTCAATATATGCTCTGGGGAGATAATTTCATATTTGAATAATTAGGCCATGTTGGAGAGGAATTTCTTAAGCTGTGCTGAATATAACATGGCATCGTTTTTTGCACCTGTGTTTTGGTTCTTCATCAAAGTCTTCAAGTAAAAAAAAAATCAGCTGGGGAAACGAGTAAAGCAGGAACCCCTGACATTAGTTTTCGATATGTTCAATCCTATTTAAAATTTAAAGAAATGTTCTAACAATCCGTATCATACTGCGGCAATTTTACAACGCATCGTTCAAACATCCTTGTCGTTTTCCTTCCCTCTGAGCCCTTATGACGGTCAGCTGGTAGGGTCCGATCTAAAATCTCGATTAAAGTTATCACAGATGGCAAAAATCTCGTCCCAGTCACCTGTGTAATTAGTACAAACAGGATTTTCTGGTTTAACAAGCTGACTGTTGCCGTTTTCGTCCCGGCCTGAATGATGGGAGGTGAAAAGAGGAACATGGCTAGATGTTGAGGGGTTGGGACTTTCCAGGGTGCTAGCTCCGGCCGATATATCACTACTCTCACTCACTGACCAAGGTCGTTGTTGGGAATGACCATTCGATAAAGGATGAGGGGGGTTTTCGGAACAGGAATTGACGTCAACGACACAAGTTCTTTCAGGCAAAGATGGATTTTGAGTGGGTGATTCCGTCCAATTGTAGTCTTTGTCATCTTCTGCTGTTTCTGTGTCAGAATTTTCAATATCACTTAAAGTGTCATTCACTGGAGGCAAAGAATCTAAAATATCAGTGTAGGCTTCCTCCATATAATCTGATACTTCTTTAGGATTACTCACTTCATCAGATTCAAATGACTGCGATAAATCAACACCATTCGCGTGTTTCCAAATATCCGGTTCCACGTGATTTCCGGTGGGAGCATCCGAAGTTGTTTCCGGTTCGGGGTCCGTGACCGCCTCTTTCCATTCCTGTAATTTGGTAGTCTCTCTTAAGACACCATTATTGGGCTCTTCATGGTTTATAGCTAAATTAGCTTTTGTGGTCTGCAAATTAAAAGACAGAAAATAAGTCAGTATATATGTATATCTCACTATTAACGGACATCCTTTTTTCATTTATAACTTAGACTCGTTGACCGAATTACAATAAATTTTATATACATTTTTCAATTAAAACAAAACTTTACCGAAGAATATAAAATTTCTTATTATATGTCATTCTTATAGTCTAATACGTAAATACCAACCCTTTTGAAATTAATGATTATCAAGGTCACACATCCGGCCGATGAATGGTCATTTTTAAGGCTTTAACGAAGATGCTTCTTGTGATCGCATGACTCCATAACATTAAGCAAATCAAGATACATCTCATTGTTCTTTCAGTCTAGTGTTTGGTATTTACTTGTATTTCGTTCTTTGTTTTAAATATGAATGTATGTTCTTACTATATCTGGTTACAGGTAGAATTAAAATACTCTATTTATTCAAATCGAATCAATTTCATCCCACTTTGCATCGTAAGTATTATTTTCACATTATATCAAATATCAAATTAAGATTTTTTCCCATTGTAATAAAACCTAAGAAGAATTGAAATAATCTAAGATTTTTTTACATTACGCATCAGAGGAAATTATAAAAACACACACGTGAAATAAGATACATAACAACCAAATAATGAATTAAACTGCATCATACAGCTATTTCGTACTTCTAGGTCTCGTCGGTGATAAAAGCGACCTGACTTTTGAAACCTAGGAGGCGACTGAGGGAAATCAAAGTTGGTCGAGAGAAATGTCAAACTTAGATCGAAAAGTTCACCAGACCCATCAATTCAGAAAACTGTATTACAATGCAATAAAAATGTTTAAAAAATATCGGTGTAGTTCGCTTGACCAGTATAAATCTGGTTTTTGAATTGCGATAGGATAGTACTGGTCAGCTGGATCTTCTTTTGGAAGGTGTTTACATCAATAGCTAAGCTTAATGTGAAGGAATGTCTCAGACTGCTGCTGAGAAATAACCAGTGAAAAGATAAGCGGAAGGCATAACACGTTATAAAAATCCTGTTCCCATTTGATGAACTTGCTTAAGTAAACTGTGAACCGCATGTGTAATAAAACCAGGAGTTGTGATTTGTCTGTTAGTCGACTATAACTTAACTAACGATTTCACTTTTAACGGACTGGATCAACTAGACATAGTCTGCACATGCGCTATCATTTGGAAGCACGGTCGTGATTGGTTGGTCTTTATCGGCTTTGGATGGACTAGTCTGACCAACTCCAGCAGCTCCTTTTTCTCCTTGTGGTCGCTTTATTGAACTCATTTGTTTTATTGCTATTTAACGTCCTATCAACAGCCAGGGTTATTTAAGGACGTGCCAGGTTTGGGTGGTTCCTGGATAAAAACTACAGACCTGCGACCAGTACCTGGAGACTGCCCCACGTAGGCCTCGAACCCGCGACCCAGAGGTAGAGGATAAAGTCTTCCTGAACCAGCCGTCGCGGCCCTCCCTTAATGTATGTATTGTTGGCAATTTTGACAGGGGATGGATGTAAATTTTAAAAACCATTCTCCAGTCATCATGTACTAATATATACGGAAAAATGTCTATAAGATACCTTTTTTTCCTAAAAAAAAACGGCATGAAAATGAAACGTTTCGTGATTATTGTATAGATGAAAATAATGAGATGTATAACATTTTTGCATATCAGTGAAAAACATATATGCAAGGTATTTAAAATTAAGGTATCATCTTATGAGCGAATATGATAGAATTTAAAATTAGTACATGTCTCCTTCCCTGAGGTTAATTAGCTGTATACCTGACACTATGTGCTTGCCTGCTCCAGCACTTATGTCGCATCCTATACAAATGTAACACGGCAAGTATATATGATACAGCGGAAGGCTTGATGAAAATTCTAATAATTAAACTTTTTTTTAAACTTTGGAGATTTTTTGAATTTGGAAATTCATAAATCATGCTTATATAAAAAGGAATATAACTGAACATGACACACATAGCGTTATTAAATTACTTCGCAATTCTGCTGTTTTTGACTGTTTATGAAGCAAATTAGATTGTAGAATGGCAAGTGTAGCTAATTAGTGTTAAACTTGCTAAGAAATACATAAGACGAATGCAGCCAGTTGTACAGTTTTAAAGTTCAAACCTTATTTAGAAATTTAAAATATAAATATCACGTTAGAACCCCGAAAATAGTTCCCCAGATGATATTACAGAGGGACTGACTAAGTCTATAAGATTAACTTCCAGTAAGTGTGTAATAAAACTGTGTGAACGTCAGCATTTACCATCTCAGTGTGACATGATGCCACCTAGTGCTTTATAACAGTGCATACTCCAGTAAAAACAATGCCTTAAAAATGTCTCCAACTGGTACATTTTTAAAATTATGATTATACATATTTATTCGTTTTGTTTAATTGCTACATTTTCCCGGTTTTTTTTTCTTTTCTTTTTTTGTTTTTGTTCTTTTTTTTTCTTTGCTTTGTTTATTCAAACTTTTCCGTGGACATTTGATTTCGAGCAGAATTAAAGCTAAACAAATTTAATTTTACTTATTTTAAATTTTAACAGTTCAATACTAAAACAAGTTCGAAAACGCTGTATAAAAGGGCGTTTAACGCTATTTCTTCTGTTTCTACTTATGAAATACGTGGACAATTTCAATATCACTGACTGTCAAAATGACTGAGAAAAGCGATATTATGCCATATACTGAACATGTATCCTTTTTTATCACATAGTCCGCAGATAATTCGCCAATGTAATAATTTTACGTATATGTCCCTAATGTAATAAAACCGATATAACCTAGGGCATTTGTCATTAGCTGTACGGTCAAAAATAGATTGTGATGTCATAATATGAGCAATGAAGTTACATCATGAATTGAAAATTTCACAACAAAATGGCTGTCTCTGTTTGATTTTATCCTCCACATTTTGACGTTAAAACCTGTCAAATTGTTACTTTTCTGAGTTATGTGGCTAAAAGTTTGTTTTTATTTCACCGTATATAAAATAATAATTGAAATGAAAATATCATCCGAGATCCCATGTGTTCATGAAGTTAGTTTTCATACGAACACTTCCTTGTGTACAATGGTTACATTTATCTTAGTCTAAAAAATAGATGGAGTATGTCATCTTGTGTAATCATGTATAAGTAAATGTGACAATTATTTTGTTATCAACATTATCTTGTTTACTAAATACTTACATGAGCTTCAAAATATTAACAAAAATGTAGCTCAAATTAAAAAAAAACTGAAACTCTGTTTATTTGTAACAAAAAGTACTTGAGAAAATATAGCATTATAAATCAAACTGTTTTAAACTCAAAATCAGTGTAAGAATTAATTGCATTATCTCAGACAGAGACCGAAAATTAAAACCAGGTGTTCCAGAAGTGAAAGCGTCGTAGGATCCGGGTGCAATGTAGTGGTTTTTAAAGACTTTATATTGCTTAATGCTATTCTAGATAACAGATGTTTTAAGGTTGATGTATCTTAATTAGAAATGAAAAAAAAAAAAATAGGTGTCAGTTATTCAAATAATATAAACCATTCTTACTTCGAAGTTATTAAATACTGAAATACATCATCGGAAAAACACATTAAAGTTGTTCCGAATTATTCTGGTGTTACAAAGGAAAAAAGTATTATGAACGATGTTCGGCGTTATTGAGGAAAATGAGGGACAGAACAGCTGGGTGCTACTACCCAGGTCATTAAAAGAAGACAAAAGTAATTTAAGCGACAATATTATGGTACACGTATATCTGCAAACAGAGAAAATGCTTACGGTATCCGTATTGTTGTTATTTCTCTTCCTGCGAATAACTTCATGAAATGACTAAGGTAAAGCTTACTGGTTGTCATGAAAATAACATATTTTGATCAGAAATGTTAGATGAGCAATCCATCCTATTTTTTTAGATTCCAACCACAATTCACTACTTTCCCAGAGTATAAGGAACCTTTCTGATAGAATTTGTAAGCAAAACACGTATGTGTTTGTTTTGATGATGATTTCATGAATGAATGGGCATAGCGTATTTATAGTCAAAATAAGTCATTTTTGATAAGTGATCTCTGCAATATATGTTTCTATCGTGGAGCCTACCCGCTTCTTTTTTTGTTATCAGTTCACCATAAAGATGAATTTAAAGTCACTGGGATGAAATTAATTCGATCTATTAAAAATAAATTTTCAAACATGAATGGCAAAATTAAAAAAGTATATCGGGAAAGACTACTTTATGTAATAATTGTTGCTAATTTATTGACAAACAATAGAAATTCAGAAAATAATTTCATCAATATACGGAGGGAGACATAGTTGGGTGAATATATGTATAAAATTGAATTTGCTTGGATACGTGCATTTGTGAAACATTCCCGTGCAGAGGACGTGATTGCTGACATTATTGTACAGTGTGACACGTTGTGTACACTTTTACCATAGCAGGTGTCTGATAAGAAAACAAGAAGCGGGTATAAGCATTCCAGCAAAGGAAAGAAATGAACGATGAAAATTGTTATCAAGTTAAAGTTATCGAAAGTCTTACCAAACTTTTCGCTTGAACTGAATGTTTCGGAGAAAGATGTAAATCACACGTGTTAAAGATGGCTAGAGTGACCACGTGCAAACAAACGTGACGTCACAGATTATTTTTGATCTGGTCAAGTAATTATAATTTATTCGTATGTAAAATGATAGACTTTTCATTACCTTCTTTTGATACTTAACCACTGAAGTATTTCTAGATGTTATATCACGGGAAACATTCGCCCATGAACAGGTATAGTGAAATTTAGATGAGAGCAAAAATTTGTTAAAGTAAAATAACATTTCTATATAATCAATCAGATGCCGAAAAAAACATTGGGCGAAAACATACCGATATACAGTATTCAAAATTATGAAATATCGACATCCTTATATTGCAACAGATAACACGTGAATGCTTGATAAAGACTGCAATATTTAAACTACAAACTTGTACGTTTATATTACAGTATTGGACAAGATAAAGAGAGCGTTTGATCGTACGAATATTAATATGGGCCATAATCTTCTGTGATAAGTATACAGAAATAGCTTTCAAGAGTCAAAGATTAAACGTCTCATTTGACCAAGATGAAGTATTAGTTAAACATTTTTGTTCAAATGAACTCAAAAGCATCCCAAAATCAAAACTCAAGCCAACACAATATTCTTACCAAGCTCGCCATTTCATTCAAATCCTGTACCTGCCAATGTATATAACAATCAATTACAACAAAAATTCAAAATGATATTTTGTCAATACACTTTCAAAGTAATCCAGAGATTATCAACCTCAAAACGTATTTGATAGAGAAGAATCATGGGTATTTGAGAAATGAGTGGAAACATAGTGTGCCTGCTTGTGAAAAAAAAACGTCATGGAAGCATAATTGATAATCAAATATTGTACTGCCATCTCAATAAATATTAATCAGATTCTAAAATCTAAAATCCTAATTCTTTGCAAATACTTGAAAATTTTCGTCTCTCCAAGAGGGAGATTGATAAGATTTCTATCTTTAGCGCAAACGGCGATCAAAACCTATTTTTTGAAAGATTTTGTTATCTGTTACGAATGACCTTTATCGACGTCCGATGGTTATATGTTGTTAAAGCTGATAGAACAAGCTAACATATTACATATCTCTGATATATACTTAACACAAATAGGGCAATATATCTGAATAATGATTTATTTTCATTGTTAAACGCTCTGAGGCGCTACATAAATAATGGACAATGGAGGCAACAATACAATAACAACAACAGAGTTAGTAACATCAGTGTCAGTAACATTAACAACAAAGTCATTAAACGATGTTTCACTTTGAAAGAAATATAGATAAGATATTGCACGTAACCAATTAATGTTAAACATTATTTTTTTACTTTAAAATCAAACATCAATGATGGCACCACTAGAGACAAACATCTCTTACATCTAGATATCATTATTTATAATTCTATACACATGTCTTATATCTAGATATCATTATTTATAATTCTATACACGTGTCTTATATCTAGATATCATTATTTATAATTCTATACACGTGTCTTATATCTAGATATCCTTATTCATAATTCTATACACGTGTCTTATATCTAGATATCCTAATTTTTAATTATATACACGTGTCTTATATCTAGATATCCTTATTTATAATTCTGCCTACGTGTCTTATATCTAGATATCATTATTTATAATTCTATACACGTGTCTTATATCTAGATATCCTAATTTATAATTCTATACACATGTCTTATATCTAGATATCTAGATATCCTAATTTTTAATTATTATTCATAATTCTTATACACGTGTCTTATATCTAGATATCATTATTTATAATTCTTATATACACGTGTCTTATATTATACTATACACGTGTCTTATATCTAGATATCATTAGATATCCTAATTTTTAATTATATACACGTGTCTTATATCTAGATATCCTTATTTATAATTCTGCCTAATTTTTAATTATATACACGTGTCTTATATCTAGATATCCTTATTTATAATTCTGCCTACGTGTCTTATATCTAGATATCATCATTTATAATTTTGCCCACGTGTATTATATTTAGATATCATTATTAATAATTCTATACAGGCGTCAATGTTTGTGGGACTTTCTAACCACAGACTATTAATACGCACACTGGTATTTATAAGATATAACACATATCTGATTGTAGATTAGATCAAATTAAGACGAAAACAATTTTTGTAGACAAGTAATTAATAATGATATCGTTGATCAAAATGAGCGCACAGAAAACGGAATGCACAGTCATGTGTCTCTAAATTACCACGCAAATGAGATAAAAGTATCAATAAATTGGTTTTAGCTGTTTCACTAACAAGTATAATACCTAAATATTCATTCTATAAGTTATATGTTTTTGTTAAATATAGAACTTCGGAAAATGAAGGTTTTGCAGAAACGAAATGTAATACCGGTTACCACCGACATTTGTCGAATGTTTGTTAATGACTGTGTAAACATGAACAGCACAGATATTATCCGAATGGAAATCTTGATTTGTCATGACGATTCCGGAGCTTTGTTCCATGAGCATGCGCAGTACATGGTTTGAGCTTTAACAGTCTCGGTCTCCGTATTGGTATCACAATATTCGTCGTCGTCATGACAACCACTGATATACTGACAAATGTTTTTGCGAAAAGCTGTCAAAGGGTGTACCTCGGTTTGTGAGAGGATAAATGAAGAAGTCCGAGAGCTTCGGCGGCGTCCACCTGATTGTAGGAACCTTCGGATCTTAAAACGATACCATTTCCGTTTAATCACACGACGTACCTGAAATGTATAAATTCAATGGTACGATTAATTGTTTTCCTACATGTAAACATTAGGAGAACTTTCATGCTATTGACTTTGTCATATTTGTGATATTTACCGCTTTGATTTAAACAAATTTGGGGCAATTTGGAGACGGATGTCGTTGTAAACGGAAGGTTATGGCTCAGTTAAGATTCAATGTAAACTTTTAACACCTACCTCTCCATTTAAAAAGCAATAGAAAACGGAAACCATTATCCCCTGCAATAAAAACAAATGCAATAATGAATTGATATTGTTAAAAAAATGACCGTAGAAGATAAAATCTAAGAAAAAGGAATTATTGGTAAGATAAACACGTTGATATGATATATTCACAACTTTAAACCAGAAAATTACTCATATTATTGAAAACAAACACTTTTTTAAAAGATGACTACCAACAGCCAAATTTGAAATTTTGAAAGAAATTTCAAGTTCAAAAAAGAGAGACTGTGATTGGCAGTGGTATTGATAACAGGTTGTCCGGGGTCTCATATTACCAATGTATGGTACATACAACACATGTCAAGGTGATTTTGAAATTTTGTGACAACAAAACAGATTTCTAGTTTTTGCAGGGACAAATATGATTCAACCCATAAATTGAATTGCTCACTTCTACTAGAAATCGAGCTGCGGAAACACCGTCTTCTGGATGCTGCTGTTTATATAGTTGTTCGAAGCATTTGTGTTCAGTGAGAAATCAATTTAAACAATTTTGTCATTATGAAACTTAGTATAAAGTGTATTTTGATCATATCTATAATGTTGCTATCTATATTTATTATTTAACAAGATGTTTTCTGAAGAGTCTGTACGACTCTTCCTGTCGCTGACTGTCATAGGCGTGTTGTCGATAGATCGCTAAGAACAGCACTCATTTATTGCTTGGAGAATACACTTTAAACTCGAGCAATGCCAATTCAAGATTGATGCAAATCTCAATCTCTGAAGTGCCAGGAACACGTAGCCTGTCACTTTCATATGATTGAAGTATAATTTGTCGCATAACCATCGTATAACACGCATAACACTGTTTAAAAAATGCTAGGTACCATAGTTAACATGTGGCAATATTTCTACCAATCAGAAAGCTAAGATTGTAATAACATCTAGTTCCCAATAGACTTAAGTCGTGACTGCATTACGTTAAGTGTAAGAAACACATGTAACATTGATGTGAAATATTGTCAGCGAAATGAAAAATTATGAAACATGTTTAACGACTTGGCGAATGTTCCCCTGTTTACTCGTGAATATATTTTGTTTATAGCTATGACGAGTACAAGGTGATTCACAGAAAAAAACACAACAAGCTTATTAAGAACTGCGTAGGTGAAATTATATGATATGTAACATGCTAATGACGTCCTTGAGTATTTGAACGAATTTCGAGCGGAACTTGATCAAATTACCCTGTACAAGAATGACTTCAATGATAATAGCACTGACAAGGAACCAAAGAGAACATACAGGCAGATAAAACTTGTCACAAATGTCAGGAATATGATAACGTTGTGAGCAAGTGAAGGCTCTGTGATAGCTATGTGTTCGTTAAACGTCGCTGTTAATGATGGTCGTGGAATATCAACTATTGTACTTCAATAAACTACCAAATGTAGTGATGATGATCACACCCTATACACACATAAGATAATGATCACATCCTATACCACTGTATGTCGTAAAAGCGTTACCTGTCAAAACCAGTTGAGGATATGGTTACTTTTTATCATATAGATTTCGCAAACACTTTGCTAACTTACCTCTTTAGACATGTTCGCGAAACATGATACCGAGAATGCTGATTTAGCAATTATTTAAAACTTACGAATGATGAGTCTATAGAGAAATCTGTAAGACTCCGACATCGGAAGCCGAATCAACATGAAGGTCTCCCAGAGTTATTGTCCCCTCGCGTATTGACGCGAAATAAATCCCACGTGAACTAAAAGTGATTTACAGTATACTATTTATTAGCGCTTCCGCTTGAAGACTTTTTCTCTCGGTTTGTCGGTAGGATCGCCTTAACTTGTATTCAGGTAAGCGGTGCTTAGAATGTACTTTTCGAATGATTGGTCAAGTTTATTCATTTTTACTTGAATAAGAAGAAATTTATATGCAAAAATTTTTAAGACTTTCTGGTTTTTTCGTATATAGTTCAATTAATAAACAAACTTTAAGTACATTTATCTGTTATCAAAGTAGATCTTTAAATAGATTTGTTCTTAAGATTGATCGATTGGAAATAAACATATTGTATCATTATATTGTTCATAGTCTTTACTAAAAGAATGCAAATGTAATGAAATGGTATAAAAAAGATGCTTGCGTCAAAGCGTTTAATTGAGAACACGACCATTAAAGACTACGATTTTAACATGATGATTAACACGAGAACGAGAAAACACGAGAACTCGACCATTAAAGACTACGACTTTAACATGATAATAAACACGAGAACGAAAAAACACGAGAACACGACCATTAATGACTATGACTTCAACATGATCATTAACACGAGAACGAGAGAACACGAGAACACGACCATTAATGACTATGGCGTACCTGTATGGATTGTAGGACAGCGTTTGTGATATGGTAGGCGCTCTGCAGTCCACCACCATCCTCCGGATTGTATACAAATAAGATGTTGGTTAGACCTAGCAGTGGCATTAGAACAATGGTGGCCTTGATAGCTTTCCTGTCAAAAAGAAACAAACACGATAAAAACAATTACAACTGTTGTTATTTCACACATTTTCGTCTTACATTTGTTACAATTGGCTAGTTCATCTACGTAACAAGTTTCGATAGAACTACGTGCGTCAGAAAAAATCAAATGTTGTTTATTCTAAATTGTTTAATGTCTTATCGATAATAGTGATAATTTTTGAACGGCCTCGCTATGTATACAATGTGAGTAGAAGTGTTTCAAGTGCGTGTGACAGGACACACCTTCCAGCTGGTCACATGTTACACTATCGTTAAGCAAGGAGTAAAAACTACCGTTTTATAGACTCCGGTATGTCTGGAACGGAGACAGAACCTACATCCATATGACAGAGGAGAACACTCAACTAAAGGCCAAAAGTGAGACAGTGTTAAGGGAGACATTAAGTAAACCGATTGTTTAGAAAGAAAAGATTAGATACTGTATTTAGTAGCCCCTTGCGAAACATGCAATGGGGGCCGCAAGTCCTACCTGCCCTTATATGGCTGTCAAACTGATGGATATTACTTGTGGAGATCAGAACGCTTGTTTCAAGCTAGATTAAACATATGTAAACTTCAATTGCGTTTTAACGTTTCTCAGCAAAATCACGGTGTTCAAACTCTTTTCCTATTTCCGTTTTGATGGCTCAATATCTTTTCCGGAATTCGAATTAATTATTTAGGAAAAAAGGAGAGACCAGGTATTTCGTACAATAGATATTAAATTAGTGGCACGGTTAAAATATAACACTAACTTGATGTTTTTTCTGAAATTATCAGACGTATTAAATGACTAAATTTATGAAATTATGGAGCTTGTGCGTCTCCCTAACTAGATTTTGACATTAATGTCGATCACTTTGCCTTTCCTCGGTCGCCTTCTAGGATTCAAGCATTATGCCTTAGTATCACTGACGAGTCCTAGAAGGACGAAACGGATGTATGATGTAACATCACTGACGTGTCCTAGTAGGACGAAACAGATGTATGATGTAGCATCACTGACGAGACCTAGAAGGACACAACAGATGCATGATGTAGCATCACTGACGAGACCTAGAAGGACGAAACGGATGTATGATGTAGCATCACTGACGTGTCCTAGAAGGACGAAACAGATGTATGATGAAGCATCACTGACGAAGCAGCTCTATCATGCAGTTTAATTCATTATTTGGCAATACTGTATCAAATTCTAAATTTTGTTGAAAGACGTAATTTCTTTGCGTTTCCTGTACGATTTTTTGACACATGCAACGTATGCTATATTCAAACTAAAATATTTCAAGTCTTTTCGTATCTTAAGATTCAAGCGATTTCTACAAATTGCCGGGTAACCAAACGTGTTTATTTCGGTCCTTACATCTACATGAATCAGACGGATGGCGTTCTTGTCTTCTCCTCTGACCAGTTGACCAAAGAATTGTAAAACTCTAGATGCCCTAATGATTCAATAAATTGAGTAATTATCATATATCTGATACTTTTAAAAAGGCTTCAAATACATGTGTATCTTGTGAACCGTGCCACTAAGTAACAGTGTATTTTTTAGAACATTTGAACCAGGGATTGTCAGTATTGTTATGACTTTCAACGTCATGAACCCAATAACAATTAAAACATGTTGTGCTGTTTACTGTACAAGAAAACGGGATGATTGATATGAACAACGGCGTTATCTAATACATCATTACGGGATTTTAAACTTGGTTTTACCAGTTATAATTACACCATCGGTAACAATCAGGCATTAATTATTAGATATAAAATCATTAACGGTGACAAATATAATTTTGTAATTCAATATTATTATAGGAGTTAAAATAATTTGAAAAGAAATATGATTTATGATATCCGAAATTCATCTATTTACAAGAAAAACTCGTTAGAAGAACTCGGAAGAATGACTCTTTTTCTTTTTTTTGCAGTTAACTTTTCATTTTGTACAAAACTTGTTCCCATGGTTCCAGTTTAAATGAACATGCTAATTTGCATCAGTATGATGCACCTTTTAAACCCTAATGTTATGTAACAAAGGTAATCCATTATATAAAAATAGATTGATTTCCGTATATAGCTTATTCCTCTACAGTACTTCTACATCATACATTGGTATCTGAAAAGAATCCCGTTTGAAATTTAGATCAGAAGTTATTTGAGGAAACATTTCATGAAATAAAGCGCTGATGATTAATATTTTTCATTTAAACATACTCTTCATTATATGGGCATTAAACCTCAATCACCAGGCCAAACAAGTTCCAACAACTCGCCATCGTTTGTTCTTATTCCAGACATCGTGTCTGGATTATATTTCCATATTCATTCGGAACTTTTTAAAACTGTAATTGATTAATTAAAGTTAAATGGTTTACTATGGTAGAATCAGTGTAAAGGAAGGCTTAATTAGAAAGTACAAGAAAAAAAAATATCAAAACAATTTATCATACTTTATCGACTGAAGCGTTGAGAAATAAATACAAATGTATTGGTAATTTTCACAGAAACAGAACTGAATCATTCATAGGTTTATGTACGGTTTCGAGGTAAATTAAATTAAGGCGCCAGACGAATTAGACGACAATCATATCAATTTCTTAACACTTCAACATTTGTTCTGAAATTAACAATGTAATGACGATCGATTTTCAAGACGAAATTATTTGATTTGTGATTTGTTCGTCTTACGTTGGCATAGATACGCATCGATACGGTAACTCTCCAAGTGTACAGTTGATTTCAAACGATAACGATCAATGAATGTCGATTGCATATTTATTTTTTGATGTTCTGAAACAAATACGATAAAGAAATTTTCCAATATTTTGAAAATAGAAATAATGACTGAAGGATCTCGAAGTAATTTTAAAATGTATTAGATAAAACAATGAAGACCAGATGTTCCAGGAAGGTAAGCGACTCTTTTAAGTAAATCTCTTCTTGGAAAAATCTCGTTGCTATTCACCGAGTTCATACGTCTCCGCTGAATCTCAAATTACACATTGTGATAGCTTTGCGCCACAGGAAATATATTTAATTAAGAACAGAACTTTTTAGGCACGGAACAAGACACAAGTATTCTAGGAACGGAAGTGTAATTGAATAAAATAAACTGCTGGTATACCCTGCCTGATAGCACATACAGGCTATAGTCCCGTAGAGACATAGGCACGAGCGGCAATGATTTTCATCTTAATCCAAGTAAAACAAATCTCTACAAAATAGATCAAATTTGGTGTTAAATTAAGTAAACCCACTGTTAATGAGTAGAAAGATGTTGGTCTTTGATCCAAGCAGTCAAAACGTGTATGAATATATGGATAGGTGATCACTTCGCTACCGTCACTATGACGACAAATGATCCCGTTCGGGGACTAAAATTACCTTATGGTTATAAAGCGAAAATAACGTCGCTGAAAAGAGCGGTATCATTGGACCTGACCAGCGGCACCAACGAGGTGGCTAAAATGTATAATGGATGTCTACCGATCTGGGGCAAAAATGGATAGAATTAAAGTAACCAGTGAAGTGTGTTGGGATGATGGGATCAGATTATCGGGATCCGATACAGGGAGAGAGCATGTAAAGTGATTAATTGGTGTCTTTAAGATAAAACTATTGCACACGGACCTGAATAATGACTTCATGAAGTAGACTTGTACATAAAATCACTCGTCCACGAAACAGTATTTTCATAAAAAAAAATAACCCACAAAAATTGTACCCGATAAAAATAAAGTGATTTTACAGTGTTAAACTACTGCTTTGTTTTAACAATATATCAGTATATTGGTCGGCATGGAAACCGGTCAATCCGGAGACTTATAGATCGACAATACGATTGGAATGAAAACATAAGAAACATGGGTTGGAGGAATGGAAAACATAGGATGGAAAGAGGAAGTTAGGATGTAAACACGGAAAACATAGGATGTAAGCACGGGAAACATAGGATGGAAACATGGAAAACATAGGATGGAAACACGGAAAACAGAGGATGTAAACACGGAAAACATAGGATGTAAACACGGAAAACGTAGGATGGAAACACGGGAAACATAAGATGGAAAGACGGAAAACATAGGATGTAAACACGACAAACAGAGGATGTAAACACGGAAAACAGAGGATGTAAACACGGAAAACATAGGATGGAAACATGGGAAACATAAGATGGAAAGGCGGAAAACAGAGGATGTAAACATGGAAAACATAGGATGTAAACACGGAAAACAGAGGATGTAAACACGGAAAACATAGGATGTAAACACGGAAAACATAGGATGGAAACATGGGAAACATAAGATGGAAAGGCGGAAAACAGAGGATGTAAACACGGAAAACATAGGATGTAAACACGGAAAATAAGATGGAAAGGCGGAAAACATAGGATGTAAACACGGAAAACATAGGATGGAAACACGGAAAACATAGGATGTAAACACAGAAAAGGATGTAAACATAGGATGTAAACAGGATGTAAAACGTAGGATGGAAAACAAATGGTGGAAACATAGGATGTAAACACGGAAAACATAGGATGGAAACACGGAAAACATAGGATGTAAACACGGAAAACATAGGATGTAAACATAGGATGTAAACACGGAAATCATAGGATGTAAACATGGAAAACATAGGATGTAAACATGGAAAACAGAGGATGTAAACACGGAAAACATACGATGGAAAGGCGGAAAACATAGGATGGAAACATGGGAAACATCGGATGTAAACTAGGAAAACAGAGGATGTGGATGTAAACATAGGATGTGGAAAACATAGGATGGAAACACGGAAAACGTAGGATGGAAAGGTGGAAACATAGGATGGAAACACGGAAAACGTAGGATGGAAAGGTGAAAACATAGGATGGAAACACGGAAAACATAGGATGTAAACACGGAAAACATAGGATGTAAACATAGGATGTAAACACGGAAAACATAGGATGGAAACACGGAAAACATAGGATGGAAACACGGGAAACATAGGATGTAAACACGGAAAACATAGGATGGAAACATGGGAAACATAAAATGGAAAGGCGGAAAACATAGGATGGAAACACGGAAAACAAAGGATGTAAACACGGGAAACATAAGATGGAAAGGCGGAAAACATAGGATGGAAACACGGAAAACATAGGATGTAAACTAGGAAAACAGAGGATGTAAACTAGGAAAACAGAGGATGTAAACACGGAAAACATAGGATGTAAACACGGAAAACATAGGATGGAAACACGGAAAACATAGGATGGAAACACGGAAAACATAGGATGTAAACACGGAAAACATAGGATGTAAACACGGAAAACAGAGGATGTAAACACGGAAAACAGAGGATGGAAAAATGGAAAACATAGGATGTAAACACGGAAAACATAGTATGGAAAGGCGGAAAACATAGGATGGAAAGGCGGAAAACATAGGATGGAAACACGTAGATCACAGGATGAATTTTATTGCCGTTAGGTAAACGAACCAGGTTCATTTCATGAAAGCAATGTCGGTATTTGTTGTATCAATTTATAATTAATCGGAAACACTACGTCAACAGTCCGTGCTTCTCCATAAAGGGCAATAACTCCATACCAGCTATCATACTAATCAAGCCAATGTCAAATAGAGATTAATCGAGATAGTTGTGAGTAATCCATTTTCCCAATTTATTGCGCGCTGTAAGCGATGAACACGATTTCTCTACTTTTACAAGGGATTCCGTATTGACATCATAAAATAACGAATTGGAGTTATTTTTCTTTGATATATCATTATGGTTAAGAAAAAAAAAAAAAAAAAAGAAAAATAAGCATCCTTTTCAAAGTATTCTCAACCTAAGTAATAAACTGTCTACAGGGCTGTTGCTTTAATTTGGCAACGGTTCTATGACGTATTTGTAGATCTTTTTTCTGGAATACATTAATGTAACGATCGGTTTAATGGACGAAATAAAGAATAAATGAATTAGAATTCAAAATGAGCGCATCACGAAAAGACCACCAACTAATTGTAAAACAATCTTTGAAATGTACCAATTGATCTGTACATAAATTGAATGTAAAATCGATTATAAAGAAACCGCACAAAATAATATTATGTCAGCACAGGAATAAACACCAATGATATTAAAGACGGAGATGAAGCCAGAAGTATGGTCATTCTAAGTCATGTCAGCTTTCGATTGAATGATGTTTTATCATCATTATAGGATATAGGATAGGTAGATAAAGAATGAATACTTTGTAACTTTATATGATCAATATATATGTAAGTTTTTTGGAAACGACGGACAAGGAAGAAATCTTGAGTTCTCCCTACCCCCTCTAAAAATAGGAACCTCAAGGGGAAAAAAAACAACTTGTACCTAGATTTCAGGAGAGTTTTGTGTGTTTATAAATCGATGAGATAATGACTTATTGTTAATGATTGACTGTGGAGTATCAAGCTGTTCTTATTTCGCTCAGATTAAATAATTATTTTCGATCATTCCTGAGTACAAACGATTTTATTTGCTGAAACAACACGTTTACTCGTAAATAAATATAACAAAAAGCGTTTCTGATGAAAATAATTCGATGTATATATATGTCTATGTCTATATATATCTATGGATACAATAATGATTTCGTGAACCCAGTTTCTATAAAGAAATCGTTCAATTCAGTTCAATGCGATAATCATTCGTGAAGAATGAATGAAGTGTAGAATCACCGTTTCACAATGATGAGAATTAAGCTTAAAGGGAATTCACACTGAACAGCTATAGCAGAGAGAACAACAATGACAATACCGACATACCCATTCATAGTATAGTTCATACAATACACTGGGGGTGTTAGAACCTACAATACACTGGGGGTGTTAGAACATACAATACACTGGGCGTGTTAGAACATACAACACACTGGGGGTGTTTGAACCTACAATACACTGGGGGTGTTAGAACATAAAATACACTGGGAGTGTTAGAACATACAATGCACTGGGGGTGTTAGAACATACAATACACTGGGGTGTTAGAACATACAATACACTGGGGTGTTAGATCATACACTGGGGTGTTAGAACATACAATACACTGGGGTGTTAGAACATACAATACACTGAGCGTGTTAGAACATACAATACACTGGGGGTGTTAGAACATACAATACACTGAACGTGCTAGAACATACAAGACACTGGGGGTGTTAGAACGTACAATACACTGGGGTGTTAGAACATACAATACACTGAACGTGCTAGAACATACAATACACTGGGGGTGTTAGAACATACAATACACTGAACGTGCTAGAACATACAAGACACTGGGGGTGTTAGAACATACAATACACTGAACGTGCTAGAACATACAATACACTGAACGTGCTAGAACATACAAGACACTGGGGGTGTTAGAACATACAATACACTGAACGTGCTAGAACATACAAGACACTGGGGGTGTTAGAAAATACAATACACTGGGCGTGTTAGAACATTACAATACACTGGGCGTGTTAGAACATTACAATACACTGGACGTGTTAGAACATACATTAGATACCACTCATTGTATTTTTAAAATGGCTTACCTGATACGATCCGATTCGATGGTATTGTTTGCTCTCAGCTTCTTCACCAGGATACGGATAATATTGATGAGGAACAACAAGTTTATCTGAAATAAAACAGATATTGAAACGTAGAAACAAGCATTGTCAGAATACATGTTTCAGTAACCAAGTGATAGAAGTAACTTAATATCGTAAAATATAAGATATGACAAAACAATCGCTGAATGTTTTACATGAAGACGATGATTTTCAGGAAATGTACAAACGTTCACATTTTATATATCATCGGCTTCTGTATAGTTATAATTTAAGTCTAACGCCCAGAAAGGCCGGGAAAATGTGGAGGAAATGTAAAAAAATGAATATTAAAAGTATTTGGATAAGGTTGAATGAAATATTGATACAAAACGTTGTGCTGAACTGATACTCACAATTAATGCAGCGAGGAATGGGACAATAATGATGTAGATAAACGGCATTTGAGAGTAGTGCGCCCAACAGGAATTTGCGTTCTGGAACTGCATGACGACCGCCCAAGTAGCTATGACCAGTGCTGGAAATCCTGCAATGTAGAAAACGTAAAAATTTCTGCCAAAAATTGCATACAAAGTATTATTTCAATCTCATATGACACTTGATGTAATTGTGATGTTTTGATGAGTGTTTTCTTGTGTTGGTGCTTTGCACGTCATTATTGGTTTACCAATGCTACCGAGAGACTAAAAATACATATCCTGTAATGACAAAATAGGTATCGAATAGGGCATCAATCCTTATATTTGGTGCAAATCGAAAGTAGAATTTCTTTTTATAGTTAGATAATGATGGCTGACCCCATTACTCTGATGGGATGTCGTTATATCATCTATCTTTCACTCTTCCGTCAGCATCTGAAGAAAATACGGCTTTTTATGCCAATTAAATTGATAACAATGCACCCGGTCATTGATGACATGTTTTCCTGTTCTAAATATGGAATATGATAGAAGTGTTAACAGTTCAGTGTGTTGTTGTTCTGTCTTATTAATCTGCATTTATTTTCCAGTTAATTGATGCTTTTAAAGTCTACATCTTTCGGTGAATGCTAAGGTTGGCATTGTGCCAATGACTATTCCCGTCTGGAGGTCATTAAGAATACTAATTACGACTACCCTAATGAGCAACTAAACCTCTCTAAGTTTTATACACGAAACTACCGACGAAAGCCATCTTGTACGCCATGTTTGGTGATTAAAGTCATCCAAATGACAAGTAACTAATGGATGTATTTTATACTGGGAGTAACCAGTGAAACACGTTTAATTCTGCACTCACAGGAAGTGAACGGTGTAACACCACATAATGAACGTTCCGATTGTCAGTTTGATAAGTGGACAAGAAAGCTACATCGAAGAATCGATCGGACAAATTGGGCAAACGACTTCTTTAAGTAATTATTCTATCTTATTAAACCAGAAATGAATCTTTTATTAGGAATGATACAGCCCTTTATGAGAAAACTTTACAACAGAACTTTGTTTTTTATGCCTTCGATCATCCGTCCATATTGTTTAACATCCTTCCTCCGACCGAAATTCTTTGCAGATCACACCGCCCGACTACTAAAATGTAGGTCAAACTTAGGGATAAAATAAATGAAATGTATCGGTATGTTAACTTCAGCGTTAAGGTGCACTGGGTGATCCGTACACTCAATGTTATAGCTGCATTGACATAAAAGGTGAAATTTTATGTGATCCAAAGCTTCTGTCTCGGTGGTTATTAAGGTATACGAAGGATGGGCGATTACTGGAAATAGTGTCGCGTCCATTTGTGTAGGTCAAATCACTTGCAATCAAGTTGTCTGTCTCTTTTTTAACGTCCTCAATAAGGACGATGAGGAAATGACTGGTGTGAAATGTCGAATTACACAGATAATAAAATCCATAAATTTGTTAGAGAAATCGTTTTTATATTGTACCATAATAATGTTGGACTTTGTTGTTTTGATACAATATTACATAAATTATAGTAACTTAAGTGCTAACCAATGTTACATTTTTATGATATACGAAATATGCTATATTTACAACGAGTTACTTACAATGATGTTTTTTACTTGCTATAAAGAGAGAAAGGAATTAAAACCTGGCAAAATCAGTAAAGAAAGATAACTTACACGAAAAGAATTCAGTTAAAAGGTTAAGGTCATTGTTTAATAGAGTCTCATAATTCAATACTTTATTAACGTGTTTATAAATAATCCGGTTTCCTCCTGTGTCATGACTTAATTACTCATTCTACAGGATTGTCAACTTCGTCCAGCTTGGCACAAGTTGAAGGACATAAAGTCAACCTTACTGATACATCATACCTTTTTGTTACTTACCCCAACCAGTAAAGAAAAATAACTTAAAGGGCGCCTCTGTGCTGAATACGGACACGACTATGCTGTTGTGTAGAAAGAGGCCCTCCACAAACATCCAATAGATGTTAGCCAGCGCCGTGTACTGATTAAGGACCTGGAACAGCTTACACAGCCACTCCTACAAAACACGGATAAGCATTTCTCTGATCACTCAGTGTCTGTATTAATTTATTATTGGCAACGCTAAACTTATCAAACTCATCTCTCGTAAAATCATATTTGTCAATCCGCATTATACCATTTTAATATAGAAAATTGCATCGCAAGATTTACAGGTTATGTTGGTCATTGCATAGGCATTTTAGCCTAGAAAGCTGACACACATTATTGTATTGTTGTGTAATAAGATCTAGACAAAGTGCTTCAAACCGAGGGTAAAACGTTTCGAAACAATTTTGAAAATCGTACTGAATACTTTTTTTTTGTCCTCATCACGCCTAAATTGTTTATATTTCTTTCTTAGCATTCAATTCTATAAAATGCATTCTCGATCGTAACGTTCCAACCAATATACCTAGTAATCACTTTCAATTAATTTTCAGTAGATGGAGTCAATACATCTTTATCGTAAAACAAATGGAAATACACTATTACCTTTTCTCTTTATTACACATCAAGCCATAAACTTAGACCGGAATGAGGAAATACAATGTCAGGTTGCCGGATTTTATTTACTTATTTACATATTCGTTTTTTTTTTAATTATTAAATTTTCGTTTTAATGGATTTCACGTCCACTATTACAGCCTTTTGCCGAATTGTATCGCGTCTAAATAGCTTTATCATGGATACACACGATCTATTAACACGACAATGGTTCAGTTTTTCAAAACAAAACAAATAAAAATGTCCAGGAATGCAGGGATATCCAGAACTCAGACTTAATATTGTTCTGAATAACCGAGATATTTTATTCATTGTATTTTTCATTTTGAAAAATAAATACTGACACCTGCCATTGAATACTTCAATTACTGTTGGTTTTGTAACATGGCGGTCAGTTTGTCAATTTCAAAATAAATGACGAAATGGCTGATAGCATTAATGATTTTTATCCTTGGTTCATTTTCAGCCACTTACCACATTTTGGTAGGAAGTAGGTCGTCCCGTCACAAGAGGTTCAATCATCACAATAATCACAATGAAACGAATGATGAAGGATACGACAAGGTTCTTGTGGATGGCTATCCGGCTACATTGTAACGCCCTGTAAGGACAGAAAATAAAATCGTAGATCTATTGTGATTAATAAACGATGTGTAATTATTGCTTCTTGGTATAACTTAAAGGTAGTAGAATTTTATTCTTACAGTGACTAAAACAACGGAGAGTAACAGCCACTACTATAAGCGACGCATAGCCAACGGGAATAACAGCAATCAGCTGTTTAAGTGAATGATCAGGAATGTCATTTCACTTTTTTATTTACTACATTCTGGAAATAAATTTTCAGGTAATTTGCAATCATGATTTGAAAGATAATTACCCGTTTTAGTTTCTGACAGAGTGTTACTGTTTTGTATATACAGTGGAATGTTGCTTTTGCATTTAAACTTCGAGGAAAAAATATCAAATACAGTTGAATATAGATAAAACTTGTTGAAGTGCATGCTAAGATAGAGTTATTTCCTACACGGGGAACTATATTTTGCTGTTTATTTATCTATTCACTATGATATGTATGTGAAAGTAATCAACAGTTTTAGGAACTTTTAGAACCCTTAAAAGGAATTTTCAGAAGAATGATGGATATTTTTTGCCATTGAAGACCCAAGTTGTTTACATATTGCTAGTCCATGCTCTAGCGTAATTGCATAAAAGGAACATGTTTTGGACTACACAGCAAACCAAAATGAGTACAAAACTGGTGTTGGGGAAAAATAATGACTAACACGTTATTTTGGTCATGTCATGTGACTTCCGGTGCCGTTGCCAAATGAAATCGATTTAGATTACCTTAGAAGTACACTGTATACTTCGTGTGCGACAGGTAAAATAATCTGTGTGGGTTAGTGTGCTCGAGGGACGATTGTGACGTCAGTATGGGGGTCATGCTGACTATAACGTCCATACATGTTCTGTTCTGGAACCATGACAGTATTAGATCACAGACAGTGGTAATTGCGTCACAAGTAAGTTCGTCAATCTCATACAATGTCGACGTAACATTTGTGACACTGAGGTAAGTAATTTCACGGTAGTGAATATCTATAAATCGTCATGAAGTTATTCTGATATTGAAATTGCATTTGTTTAATACATTTATTTTGTATTCTAAACTTCAATCAATGTAAATATCAATATATATATTTGTAAATTTTGAATTATCAAAGCAGTGTAGTTTTACCAAAATTGCAATGCAGTAAAATATTTAAAAAAAAAATAGACGAAAAATAAAAGGCAAAACAAAAAGCCCCCCCCCCCCCCAAGATAAAAAATGATAAGATAAAACGAAACAAATGAAATAACAATAACATCATATAAAGTGAAATTTTAGTAGTTAGTAAAAAAATATGGAATAAGACATGTGTATGATATTATATTATGTTTTTATTGGTCTCTTATGGATCAATAGGATAGTGAGCGTTATATAAAGACCTAATATTTGTATATCTGGAAAATGAGAAATTGTTTAAAGGAATTTCCTAAGGAAAGGGCTAGAAGCCCAACGTTTCGAGCATAACTAGTGGTAGGGAGCCTTCCATGTGTTTAACAAAATTGGACCATTTAAAAATAAATAAAGTCAGTTTTATTAACTAATTTTTGATATGATAAGCAAACAATTGTTATTATCCTGGTCGTGGATTAATTTGCCCCCAGATGTTATTTCATTGCTACCAACATACAAACTAACATTAAAACATCAGACAGTTGTCATTTCATGCTCGACGCCTTGAAAAATACTATATTATACATGTATCACCAAAACCCCGTCATGTATATCGTTCTATGATTGTGTTCAACAAGAAACGTGTTCAATAATTCAGGTCCTTGTAAAATGCTTAATCTTGTTTGTAATTGTTTTCGTTTCAACTGTCAACTGTTGTGGGGTTTATGCTGCGACTGTTTGGTGAACTAAATGTTGAGTTCATATGTACTTCTCCATTTCAATTTGTTAACTTTCAACATAACGTTTTCAAATATTTGTGTTGGAATTTCCGTACTTGCAAAAAAGAACATAATATGAACTCGGTGTTCCTAGAAAAAACGGTACTGATGATTGCTTTGAAATGTCTTGATAGGAAGACAGTAATATAAAACCCCACCCAGCCACAAAATACTGACAACGTGTTCAACACAAACTTAAATCGAGCTTTAGATATTCAATGTAGGAAGTACCTGTTTCGAAGTTAAGGAAGGTAACATGACCACCAGAACATTTGTATGACAATTAAGTATCAGGAATGTAGTATTTACTGTAGCATGTTTTAGAGTAATCCGGAAAGTTTGTTTCTATGTACCTTTACATAGTCTTTTAAATCAAAGAGATTTACTAAATGAAAGAGGCCTCACACTAAGGGGAAAAATTTTACTCCGCCAATGTTTTTAATAGCTCTTCAAACGTTCATATCTAATTGAATTATTATTCCATATGTATGCTTAATTAGTATATACAAGTTTGTGCTGCAAACGATATAGGGTTACAAACAAGTGGATGACGAGGGTGTATTGCATTTTGCTGTTGAAAATCCTTCAAATTTATATAACATACGATAGATAGACGGAACCCAGTTTTCGTCTGGAAAGGAAACAGACACGAAACATAAATAAAGACAAAAAGAACATGTTTAATGGAGACACATTGATAATACCACATTCAGGAATTAATCTTAATGAACAACTGGTATCGTAACTAAAATACATTTACAGAAATTGAATACTTATAATTGCATAAACGGTTACAAAAATAAATCAAAACCAAATGTTTATGAAGACAACAAACCTTTTATCGCATGTATTTATTGGCAGAAAAGAACACGCGCATACAGACATTTTGGGGTATGAGAGAATACACCTGAACAGTGTGGTCTAGTTAATATATGACAAAATTCGGTTAACGATGTAAACGTGCATATCTTATGTGATAAGTAATTGTTCCGTAATTGTCGTCATTATCAGTCAGACGCGTGGAGCGATGCACAGTTTATTGGTATTGGATACACACAGCACTGGAGGTAAACAACATTTTGGCTGTTTTGGCAATTTGGCTCCGAAGACAGCAGGAACCCTATTTATAATCTCAAAAAGTGCAGAAACTGCCATTTCAAAGGCGGTAAATCGAAGGAGATGACATACCACAATATAAAAATAAGTTAGAAGTAATACAGCATCCTTAAGAACTATTAAACAAAATAGCTGACCGAGTTGAAATAAAATTTATTGTCCTTTGCCTCGTAAGAAATAAAATTCAACTAACATGAAGAGCAGAGAAAATGAATTTATACGTTGGATGTCAGAATAAGTACGATTTCAAAGGAAATATGAAAATTTAGGATTATTGTCTCCAACATAACCGCTCTAATACCAATATATTTAAGTAGTTAATTGGTAGATGTATTAGATTGTCAGATACTCTCAATTCTATATCTGAAGACGTGTAATAGTAAATCAATTAAATAAATCTTTATAGAATTATACAATTGTGTCTTGTAATTATTTGTCTTTGTGTTAAAGTTATGATGGATCTTATTGTCTAGGATCTAATGGATATTTTGGAAAACAGAAAAACGCATTATACATTTGGAAAAAATAAGAATATATAGTTGGCATTGATGTTATAGTATTATAAATTAATATATATATGTAAGATATATACCAATTTGCAACCATCATATTGACTACCGTGGAATCAATAACTTTCGTGGAGATTCATTTTTGTTTAATTCGTTGGCACTCTATATCTACGAATCATCTAATGCAAGGCAATCAGTAAAAAAAGTTGACATGGATAAAAGTGACACTGGATTTCGGAAGCAAGATTTATTTACAAAATCAATTGCAAACGAAGACGTGTTTTCGGTAAAAAGAGACTTTGAGGCCCACGAACAGATGCACAAAAATCCATATAAATCACCCTCGAATTTAAAAGATGTGCGTTGATGAAAAATATGGGGACGTTTTATGGTCGTCATAGTGGTCTCGTTGAGAAATATTCTATTCCTTTGAGCGATATGAAGTTGGACGATTTTGATGCTCTTTAGTTTGCCTGTTGGCTCCTTTCTTGTAAATGTTGTTCTCATTTGAGATGTTGATATTTCTTGGATTGACCAAAATTTACATGGTGGATGTCGCCGATGAAGCAAAAGACGCTTACTCTTGCGGAAAATCTGGCCATATTCACCAGGTTCTTTCTAAGGAGTCCTCAACTAATCTTTCTTTCATTAATATCATCCACTAGTTTTAGTGAATTTGAGTTTGGATTATGATTATGTTCACATCGTGGTAGTTTTTTTTTCTAACCCGTAAAAATAAGCTCCCAATGCCATTCCTGTCAGTAAAAACTCAACCGTAAACAAATTTAATCTAAAATCTTTCAAAATGGTCAAGAGAATGTAAACCACTTACCTGAAATACGAGAAGATGAAAAGCGTAACGATCAGGAAGACAAGAGAGAGGATACTGCAGACAAAGTAGATGTCCCGTACAATCATCCATAGTTGTTTGTTCTAGGAAAATAGGAAATGTAAAAGCACGTCTTTAATCTCCGTAAATAATGTACTATACTTATATTCTTTAAAAGGATTGTCTGTAGGGATTTCAAATTTCCGTGACACCGAAGTGTTCCTGAAACATCCTTTCGCGTTGTAATAAAGGAGATTTCCAACGTACATCTCACAGTAGAATGAAAATGACGGATCGGCCCTAGCGTGTTGGGTTGTGTTTGTTAGTTCATCAGTATCAAAAAGACACTGACCGTTTTGGAACACCCGCTCCATTATTTGTTTGTTTCTGGATGTAGTTTTTATTTGTGTTCATATGTTAGAGCGTCTTATCGATTTTGAATTACAAATTTGTAGTGATGTCAATGTTGTCAATCTGTTGATGCGATTGATAAGCGAAATTTTATGTAGAAGTATGAAATAGAAATACCGATATTCCGAGTAAGATTTAAACAAACGGAAAAAGATAGCTAGGAATTAGAGAGATAACTGCATCGGGCAAAGAAGATGACAACCAGAATGCTACAGGGATTCCCAAATTAGTCGCCGATTACGGATATGCAGCGGTTTAATAGTGCGACTTAAACCCCGATTGTCTAGGTAAATTCAGTATATTGGAAAAGGTAACAGATTCTCTGAAGATTTACACGTCTGGCGTCTTCGTTAAGTAGATAACTCTTACCCTTCCAAAACTTCTGATGTTAGTCTCCTTTTACTATTTTGAGGTGCTAATATTTTTTTCTTTTGTATATATTTGCCTTAGTTTCATCGAATTAAAATTTGTAATACGATTCTGTTTATGTGGTGGTATATTATGTATGTTTTTTTAAGAGTTTCAGTGTCTGAACATTAAAATTTGTTAAAGACGTATGGCATCTGTTTTGTTATGAATAAAATGTCTGCAGTAACTTATTCTAGATTTGACCGTTTGAAATTTTGTTTCAAACCCTAACAGACTCATACTGCCAAACAACATTGGGCTATGTTTAAAGGACTTATGAACCAACAGTTACCTTCGTATAGCTGTTGGCGAATAAACTTACTGCGTTTCTCTGCTGTTGTAGGAACTATGCAAAGTTTTGTTCCTCAAATCACCTTCTGCTTCGCTACTCACTCATATAATCTTTAAATTAAATTGATTTATTGGAGGAACCAAGATTTATATAGCTCATTTTCTTAATTGTATAAAACTATACAAATATGTGTAGACCTCATTTTCTAATCAAAGTAAGACCCAGAAAATTATCCGTAACCTCATAAAATGCGTGCACGTGATTCAATCCATTAAAATTGATGTAGAGTTAATTGTTTTAGTTTCTCAAAACCTTAATAAATAAAATTTCTTCCGTCAAGAAAGGCAGTTAATTGAAACATATTTGCGCGGTTCCATGTGTATGAGACTAATTCTTTCAACAGTATCTTACTAACAGGAAGTGTTTCTAGTATTCCAACTACAATGACGATAGTTATTGTGATATTGTATCGTTTTAAAACAGACAAGCAATATCATCAAAAATAATTTGTTGGGCATTCGATTTGATGGATCTTAAAAGATAATTTCCACGTGAATTTCCAATTGACCAGGTTATCACTTTAAACCGCCCACTGCAATGACCTTCCGTCCACTATGCCTGTATTATCACTTTTGGATACTATATGAAGTGGATATACACGAAAAGCAAAATGATAAAATTGTATACACAGCTCCCCGATAGTAGAGATCGATAAAATAAAGATACAGAAATTCATTGACACGGTTTATGATTTTACACCTGGTGAGTCCTTTTAAGTTGAAAATGCCCTATGAATAATTTGTATTTAATGTCACTCATTTTCTTCGTCGGCTTTATTTGATTTGCAGGTTTCTTATTGTATCAGTGTGACCCTGGAGTAAGGTTTTGTTTTATTTCAATATGCAAAAAGATTTTTTGATTCAGTCATTCATACTTCAAAAAACATCTCCAGCGGTAATGTCGGGCAACATAATCCATAATCCTTAGACCTGTTATTGTTTTTTAGTATATCTGTTTTTTTAAATTGCTTTAAACTAAACGTGATTTACTAGTCTAGTTTCTTGGCTGTGTTAAATGGCATGTGTTTGTCAGCATGCCCATTGATGTACGAACCTATGGCAGATGTAAAGGGCAGATTAGATTGATGATCTTCAGACCTGTCCTCCGTCTTTAACATCTATTTGTCAATTCAAAAGTACACGATACTCCCAAATTTTACAGGTTCGTTAGGGAATTAGTTCAGAAATTGAAAACAAAAAATGCGAAAACCAGATGTGACTAAAAAGTAGCGGAGAAAGAGGTGTGGAAAATGGCAGTACGAAGGCGATAATAGAGATGAGAAGGAGAAAGGTGGTGGAGGGGAGGGGGAGGAGAGATGGTAGACATAAGAATGCGGAAACGGAGGAGTTGGAGGTAAGGATGCGGAGACGGATGTGGTGGGGGTGTGGAGGAGGTGATGGAGGATGAAAACAAAGGAGGTGGTGGAGGAACAACAATCGTTGATGACAGCCATAGCAATGGCAGACTAGTGAACATGGGATTTGTTCTGGGTCAATAGCACAACATAACTGATATTTCCTCGGCGCTTGAGTTTCATAATTTCTCTTAAATGCCTGAGAACCAGGGTACTTTCATTGTTTAGGCTGCTGTTTGGTCTCTGGGGGTGGAATGATTGACCTACATTTCATCCATAGTCACAAACCTCTGCAGAAGGTTAGCAGAACCTGTCTCTAAAAGGTTCATATGAAAACGCGACAAAGTCCGCCTGGTATGCTTCTGATCACCTGTCGGAAGTCTTGGTACCCAACAGACAGAGAGCTTTCTCAATGCAAGAGCGTCCGTAAGAGTTGAACGTACTCTTTCCTGTGAAATCCCAACTGTACTGGACATATATCTCTCTCTTTAACTCGCCTTTCAGCCATAAAAAATCATAGACTTTATTGACCATTTCTTTGGTTGCAGTGACAACCCTTCCGAGACGGGCGTCATCCCTAAGGCTCTGCCTGCCACGCTTAAATTCCGTCGCCCACCTTTCATTCAGCAAATTTATCCATTTTGCAAAAGTCACCTGCCTTGTTAATTTTAGAGTGCTACCTATTGACCAAATGACACCAGTCTTCTTCGTATGCACAGTTTTAGATAATCAGGAAATAGTAAAGCGGTAAAAAGAATAACCTTACTAAACTTCTTCAATACAGGGCTCAAAACATTTCAATCAGCGCTCGTAAATCAAGAGTTCTTCAAAGATTCCAAGATTTCAACACTTAAGCACTTAGATTCATTAACGAGTCCTAAAAAGATGAAACAGCTGTTTGTTGTAGTTAAGTTCATTATCGTTCTCCGCTATATCTGATGCTAAAAATGTGTTTCTGTAGTTTTTTCCCTAGATAAAGAAACTTCCAAATCATTATTGACATATAGTAAAAAAAAACATGCCTGCACACTTTCCTATTTGATTTTTCTCTCAAACGTGGATTAATGTAAATGTGACTTTGTAAGAGCTAATACAAGGAAAGAGAGGCGCTGAATGGTTTAGCGGAAGGATATGTGTGTAAATTGCCATAAATAAGATAAGTTAACGATCATTAGTGTAATGATATATATTGGAAAGGAAGCTTTAATGAAATGACAAATTAACCCATCACATATGGCCCTCAATGATCAATATCGATTGCTAATTTTCTACAGAAGTGTTTTCACTCTCAATTACTTAATGCAATTACTATTACTCGTTTCATAGATCAATCTTAATGAAAAAATGTCGTTAATTTTTTTTGTCCTTGACGAACTTCTTTCAGTCGATAATGATAATAAAAAAAACCGTTTCTCATAGTACGTATATGATGTATTATCCATTATATTTAAAAAACAGACAAAAAATTTTTGCATATGGATGTGAAACTGATAAAATCATTCTCTATACACGATATTTACTATTGATTTCCAATCGAATAGCAAGATTGCACAAATACGATGCACTTATCAATATGTGAATTTAAAGAATCAATGGGAGTGATTTTAAAACTTTTGATGATATATCTGAATCATTTCTCATGCATTGTACAAAGTAACATAACATGTTTTATTCAATATTTGCGCACTGGAAATTCGGTTTATGTCCTAAACACAATGATGCTGACATGGCAATAGTAATGACAAATCTATTAGTCGCTTGTAGGTTATCTTAGATAATGTAACATCAAAGATAATATTGACGAAAAGATATAAATACAATAATGGCAAACCGTGAAGAGATAAGGAAACACCGTTAAATCGTTATAACAACAAAAAATATCTTTTAAGGAATGACATTAACAATTCATATGTTGAGGTACGTGATAGTAACAAGTAATTGCATTTGTGATTGGTTAATCAGAGAACCTGAGATAGTTGTTTGTTAGGAAATGATGAAATAGGTCACTTGTAAATGTGATTACATCTTTTATATCAAAGTCGATATAACAAGCCAGGTGATGCTCAAAGTTACACAAGTTAATGTATCACTTCATCGATTTTAATCTTTCTACTGCATTTTGTTCGCACAGAATCCGATTCTACGGCAATGATAACGATAAATAAGAACAGACCTGTCCAACACATCTGCACTTTTTAAAAGACCGCGAAATGTTCTTCCCACTTTCATTTACTATATTAATTCTGTCGCGATCGTTGCGTTCATAGATGTGTTAACGCACCAATTCAATATATACATGATTTAAAAGCTTTGTCCTAAAATCCTTATTGCTTTTTAAAACGTATTGTCCGTAAAAACCTAATTGTGAATTTAGATTCTTACAAACCAGGAAATGTATACTTCATTGAGCCAGTATCGTCCAACCTATTAGATTCAAATCAATGCGTTAAAACGACATCTAACCTGCGTTATTAGCATATCTCCCTAGTGTTGAATGGTATATCTGTGCTCTCGTGAATCAGGTACTCGCATGTCTACGTACATCAATCATTTTGTAATAAAATCTTC